TTCTCCTTGCCGACAATGAGTAAAACTGGTTTAATTCCCCCCCAAACTAGAAGTCTCGCTGATCAGGCACAATTACGTTATTTTTACTGTCCCTCTCCTATTTGCAACATGTATTGCATTTATACAGTGTGCGTAGTATGTTTAGCCATAAGAAGGATCTCCCTGTGTAGGTGTACAGTACATATTGCATTGTTTCTTTTCTGAAGACATTACTATCTACGTTTAATAGTGTGATGCTTTTACTTTAAACTGAGAGTATTCAAGGGCTTCACTCACCAAGTGTGCTTTAGGATTTCTTGCTCCCTGGCTATGCGTTACACAACTGTCGCCTCCAGTCCCAGGATCCCTGCTAGACTACTGTCTCAGCCTCTGGCTCGGGTCCTGTTGACAATCCAATTCAGACAACGATCTGATCGTTCCATTCCAGCACTGACTACTAGCCTTGACATGTACTGTCAGTGTTTCCTTCTCATCCTGCTTCCTCAACAGCAATGGCTTCCTCAAGAGTCCTGACTGACTGCAAGCTCTTCCATTTGTGGACAAACCCTTAAGCAAAAGTTGATATATTCCAGTGTACCAGTCTTTTGGTGAGGTGGCTGCATTTGCTTTATTTTCTTTAAGACTTTTATTTCCTTTAATTTTACCTGGCAATTAAACAAATATACCTTCTAGGCGGTTGTACCTTATTCTTGCACTTTATCCATGGAGGGAAAAATGGGTGACACAGGACTACAAACCGATTTTCCTCTATTCATCTCCATTACATGGGGGTGGGGGATTAGTCTACAGAAACCAAAGCAAGGTAACATTTGTGCTTTCAGCTCATCTCACAGGAAGTGACAAGGACAGTGCATTTTTGGCAAGATCAACCAGTATTTACTGTACCTTGTTCTTGTTGAAAATGTTCTTATCCTAAGAAAAAAGAAATGCAGCCACCATATCTAAAAACTATTAAGCTGCAATATGAGTTTATTTTTTCAGTTTGAATTTTCTTTAATTACACTTCTGTTCTGAGTGTGTATGCATGCATGTGTGTGTGTGTAAATACTGTATATGTGTGCAGACACTCACAATGCCACATGGTGCAGTTCAGAATAAGCAGTTGTAGAGGAGACATGGTTCTTTTTAACCACTTCCTGTCTAGCCCATGTACATAAACGGCCAGACGGGAGCAGTGCAGGAGCGGGTGGCCGTTTCTAAACATCCTCCTGCATTTCCTGCCTGTGCGCGCTTCTTCTGGACACAGCGGAACACCGATTGCTGTACGGGACCTCTGTGTGAGGTCCCGATTATGTTATCACTGATTGGCTAATCAGTGATCACATGAATAGTAGTAAGCAAGATGTCACTTCCTGACATCATTGCTTACTATTAGTGAAATCTGTGAATGATCATATAGGTCACATGGTACAAGGCTATTTACAACAGCCTTGTACCATGTGATAAGCTGTGACCAATCACAGCTCTCACAGTATTTCTTAGAGAGGAGGAGAAATGACTGCTTTTTACAGCCTTTGTGAGTGTAAAAGCAATCAGTGTGTTGCCGGAATGGATACATATGGATCAGGTGGGATTTGTCCCAGGGAGGGAGGGTAGGGACAATGGACTAAGATCTTTGCTTCTTATACAGAAATATAGGAAAGCAAATGATCCTGTTCTATTATCTGTAGATGCTGAGAAGGCTTTTGACAGATTAGATTGGGGGTATATGTTAGATACATTGGAAGTATTGGGGATAGGCCCAGAATGAGAAAATGGATAAAGAAGCTTTATAGTCAACCCTCTGCTGCAATAAAAGTAAATGGAGAAATATCTGAATTTTTTAAAATGCAAAATGGGACACGACAGGGATGCCCCTTGTCAAAGCCCTTGTTGTTTGTTCTGTCTCTGGAATCTCTCCTAGTAATATTAAGGAAAAGTATAGATATAAAAGGGATCAAGATAGGAGAAATGGAACATAAAGTAGCAGCTTATGCGGATGAGATGCTGTAGTATGTGAATAACCCCAGAATGACATTGCCTAACTTAATGAAAACATTAAAGGAATATGGGGAGCTATCACATTTAAAATTTAATCCAACTAAAACGGAAATTCTTAATCTAAATCTTCCAATTAATGAGAAACAAAGTTTGCAGAAAGAATTTCCCTTTCTGTGGAAGGAAAAAGATCTAAAGAATTTAGGAGTAAATTTGACTGCATCCCCAAAACAATTTATATAAAATGAATTGTATCCCATTGTTAAACGAGATTAATGATGACCTAAGGAAATTTGGGACGGGAGGAATGTTGTAGATAGGACGAATAAATTTAGTGAAAATGCTAATTGTTCCAAAAATATTGTATAAATTCTAAATGATACCAATAAACCTCCTGGGAATATATTTTAAAATAGTTTAAAAAATTATAAGATATATATGGAGGAATAAGAAACCTAGAATAAGCTATGAAGTTCTAAGTAGAGATAAAGAGAATGGGGGATTGGGTGTGCCAGATTTTAAAAGCTATTATAATTCAATAATGTTAGCGAGAATTTTTGATTGGACACATAATGCACACAGGAAAAGTTGGATAAATATAGAAAATACACTGAGTAAAACACAAATATGTAGGGTAGTATGGGTACCACCTCAATATCGGGGATTAACAGATAACACAAGTATATGTACACAAAATGTATTGAACATTTGGGATGTAGTTCACAAACAAATGAGATGGGAATTTAATTCAATGTTGATGCCCATAGTGGCAACATATTTCTTCCCGCCGGGGAAGGAAAACATAGCAGGGAAGTGGATAAAAAAGGAAGATATACAATTACGAGATGTAATGAAGGGGGAGGAAATCAAACCATTCTTTGAACTAAAAAATAAGACAGAATTGTTCTCTTAATTGGACAAATGGCGTTTTTGTCAACTAAAACATTTCATAGGAAAACTTCCCAGACCCTTAAGAGTAAAAGCAGAGTGGAAACTCTTTTGAACGGTTTAGTACACAAGGTGACGGAAAACATGGAACTTTTAAGATTTATAAAATACTCACTAAATTGACAATGGATTCAGCACCGGCTTATATGAAGAAATGGGAAAGGGAGTTAGGGGTAACATTAGAAGAAGAAAAACAAAAAAAGATATATAGATTAACACATGGATGTGTAAATATGAAGGAGGTGGAAATGAAGTGTTTGGCGAAATGGTATAATACACCTAATGTTGCACATAAGCAAGATAAAGATAAATCACCTTTGTATTGGCGTGGATGTGGGGAAAAGTGCACTATGGTACATATCTGGTGGGAGTGTTATACAATTCACGAGTACTGGGAGGAATTAATTTATCAGAGATAACTGGAATTAGAGTCCCAAAAGATCCAGAGATCTGTCTCTTACATGAAACGGAGCTAACAGTGAAGGAGTAAAAAAATTCTGGCCTATTTTATTTAATAAACGCAGCAAAATGGTTGATACATAAATTTTGGCGGAAACAGGAGGTACCAAAGATAAAGGATTGGATGGAAAAGATAGATCAGATATATAGGATGGAGGAACTTTACCATATAAATGAGGATAAAGTGGAGAAGTTTCATAAAAAATAGGAAGACTTTAAGAAATTAAATCAATACGTGAATTCAGAGCGGTAAGGAGAAAAGGTTGGGTTTATTGTGTAAAAAGGAGAAGGAAAATAAGGGAAAAAATAGAAGATGAAATCTCTAGGACTCCCAAGAGAAGTGAAAAACGTAGAGTAGAACTATGAGGATGGGAGTGGGGGATTGGGGGGAAGGAGAGGGAGAAGGGTGGATTGGAAGGGTAGGGGGGGAACAGATAAATGTATATTTTGATTATGTATGTTGAAAATGTAATTTTTTTTATTACTGTGGTTGAAATGATAAAATTCAATAAAATATTAATTAAAAAAAAAAAAATGCACCTCCCACAAGTAGTACAGTGTCACTATGGCTACACTGTACTGCTAGGGTGACAGTATGTTAAAAAAAAAAACACACACCATAAATGTAAACAAATTTTGAAAAATTAATATTTTGGGTTGTAAACTAATTTTGGGGGGGGGGGGGGGGGGGGGGGTTGTTTTTTGTTTTTTTTGTTTTTTTTTTTACTAAAAAAGATAGCTGAATACATTTTGGGCAAGATTTATGAAGAAAGATTATTTGCAAAATTTTATAAGAAAAACACTTTTCTTTCAAAATGTTTTTTCATTTATATAGCAAAAAAATAAAAATCCCAGTGGTGAATAAATACCACCAAAATAAAGTTTTATCTGCTAAAAATTTCATATGTTGCATGACCACTCAATTGTCATTCAAAGTGTTATAGCACTGAAAGCTGAAAATTGGCCTGGACAGGAAGGGGGTGAAAGTGTCTGGACTTGGAGTGGTTAAAGGATAATGTGCAGTTGCACTTGTGGGCCAGTTATAAATTATGTGCATTGAACCTGGCTAAGCCAGCCTGGAAACAACTGTATTGGTTCATATTTTATATTAGAGTGTTATTTACCCTTTAATAGTCAAATATTATAAAATTGTGGCGATTTACATAAATGTATGCTCAAACCCACATTTCAGTTGGTAATGCTCACCAGAAAATATATAGAAGGCAGATCTCCAACAGAATCATAGACACTAGAGAAACCTGACAGACATTTTAACCCTTCTTTACTCTATCCTTTAAAACAAAAAAAAGGCATTTATCCTTTTTAGGTGTCTGTTATTATTGATTCTATTTAGGGTATGTTTATAATTTTTTTTTTCCCCACGCAAGTCATTCAATAATAACCCGAGATTCGCACATTTTTCTAATTGGATTCTGTTATGAATCCTGCGTAAAAGTTGTGTGAATCTTGTTTGATGTCATTTATAAATCGCTTTAAATCAGCTCAATTTTGCCATTAAATATTTTTCAAAAGCAAACGTTAAACAGCTTGGTTTGATTAGAAACTTGTACGTGAATTTGTTCTATTATTTATTTTTTTTTTTCCTTTTCTCATAGTTCGAGATCGTGTTAGAACAAAGATGGAGCGTGATATTTTGGTGGAAGTTAATCATCCATTTATTGTCAAATTGCACTATGGTGAGTACAAGATTTCTCACTGCTGATAGACTTATACCAGCTGTTAGAGTGTTACGTCCCAGTTTTAAGAAATTTCAACTTTTTAACTGAAACTCATTTTAAATGTTTGAATAATGAGCAGCTCTGTGATTCAGTAACTAAAGAGGAATTTTGCCCATAACAATTTGATAGAAAAAAAAATGTTCTATAGCAAAGAACACACTTCACATTAATAATTATGCTATCAAAATTAGTGTGTGCTGTAAATTACCTCCAGCATTATTCCTGTTTTTTTGCTAAAGGCTGCCAGTTTTCTGAAGCCCAGAGCCCCTGATCAGCAGTAAATCTGCAGGCTGTTAGCAGAACGGCATCTACATTTGTCACTGTGTCGAAAGAGAGAGAGCAACTGAGCATGTGCAGAGCAGGGTGATAGTGTATTACTGGATTTTAAACATTTATAGGCACTTATTTTATATTTTTGTATTTATTGAATAAGAAAAGTTTCCTTTTTTTTTCACATCACAACATTCCACCACATACATTTTACATCTTACATATCTACATGTAACATTTTCTTTACTTGTCTCAAATTACACATTTCTTATATACCTCAAGGTTAATTAAGCCTCAAATTCTCTTCTCTAGTATACATTAACCGTTCCGTTGCCATCTGAGAAGGCATTACTTCCAAGTTATTATTCCATTTGTCCCCATACTTTAACATTCTTATCCAGTTCACCTCTATGTTGAAATACCATGTTCTTTTTGTGAGACTTCATTTACTATTTTAACCCATAATGTGTGTGTTGGGGGGGTCTTAGACATTCATCTCTGTGCAATTAAAGTGTTACTAAATCCAGGACCCTGTATTCACTATATCTGGCTTTCCACAGTACACAGAACATGGAAGTAAAATTATTATAGGAAATATAAACTGCTAAATATCTTTTCTAATCAGTAGTTAGGGCGGTCTTGTGACTTCTGTCAGTGTCCTAATGCTTGTAGGAGTGTTCATTCTGCACTAGGAGGATGCAGAACCACTGACCTCAGTCTGGACAATGCTGATTGGCCCTGTGCTGATCACATGCTCTCTCCCAAGAAAAAAAAAAAAAGAAAAACCTCTCTAGGAATACACACCAAACTGAGCATGTGCAGAATGATTCCACACAATATGTCTTATCAGGAGATAAGAGTGGGGACACTGGAAGAAAAGGGAGGATCAGAGAAGTCAGGATCAAACAGCGTTTTTACACAATGCAGAGGATTAACTCCTTAGGTTCCACAGTGAGTATAACAAGCATGCTTTACTGCATATACAGACCGATTTTACTGTTGTGGGTCTAGTAACACTTTAATTTCCGTGCCAAAAACAGTAAACGGTTAGCTACCAACCACATCTTGGAAGCAACCTTCTATCCAGCCACCTCAGCACACACACCCTGGGATCACTTAAAATGATTGATCCTTAATATCTTGATTGTATCCTGCATCTGTGTCCAGGATTTGGCACGACCACTTTTTTTATTTTCTATTTATTTAATTTATTTCACTCCCACGTTTTGTCACTTTTTCTTTCTTATGTGTGTGTTTTTCTCACAGGATGGAGGGTGTGGGTCCTCGGGCCTGCCCTGAAGTCTAGGGGGAGGATGTGTGGCCTTTTGGTTCCTCCTCCCCTGTTCTGGGGGGTTTTCTCTTCGGGAGAGCCCCCTGACCGAGCACTGGGTGGCTGGCTTCAGCTGGCCACAAGGAACGGTGGTCCACCGGGCCTTTTGGCCAGGAGGACCAAATGGAAACCTTGTCCCTGTCAGGAGCTTCGTGCCCCGGGGGATCAGGGTAGTGGTCCATCCCCTTCGGGGGAAGGACAAGGCACACCCCTAAGTGCACTTTTTCATGTGGTGTTTTGCACTTGCACTTTTTTGTGAACACTTACGGGTTTTTCGTTTTTCGCACGTTTGCGGACTTAAAAAAAAAAAAATCTGTGTTCAGGATCTGAACAACTTGGGACATCTCCACAACATGTGTATTAAGTGTGTCCTCCTCCTGCCCACACCATGGACACATGGGGCTGGCTCTCATCCCATCTATACAATTTCTGAGGCGTTCTATATGAATTTTGAATAATAAACATTTTTGCCACTGTAGTCTACATCTTGGTGATATTGCCTTTTGAGGTTCTCTGTACTAATGCTCCATAAATGACTGATATTTAACACCTCCTTGAAGGTGCTTTTATAACATTATTGAATAACGTAGTGTAATGTAATGTTATGCAACTCCAATGTTCCGACCTTGACTGCATTTGTATAGCATGTCTAAGTTGTAGGTACTGATAAAAAAACACTTATTTTTTAAATTAAATTCATCTTGTAGGTGGTGAGTCCTTCAGGACTTGACCCTGACATAACTGAGGAATATATTCCAAACCTCTTATCCTCAAATCCCTGTAACTTTAATAGATCAAGATAATTGTTTTTGAAACATGCAGGTATAATCAGTATATCCCACATATTCAAAATGTGTTTTCATCTTAGTCCACACATTATCAATCATAATCAAAGTAGGGTATTAATGGACACTTATTTTTAATGTTTTTCATAGCTATACCTGCAAAAGGGACCAGCTTGAAGTCATCTTGCAGGACTTGAGTTTCTGACTAAAGTTACACTTAATGTAATCTTTTAAACAGAGTCTGTTTTGGCACCTTTACTTTTAGTGTAGCAGCCTTTTACCAATAATGTGAACCTGTGTGGCTGTTGGCCTTGAGGGTAGTAATAAAAGCTTCTATCCAGATCATTTGCCTTGATGGCGCTTGGTGCTAAGAGGGGCTGTTCTTGGACCCCACAGAATGGCCTGTAATGTTGCCTTCTGGTACTAGATCCCACAGAAAAGGGACTGTGGTCCACTGCAGTGGGTCCTGTTCCTGCTGACTCTGGATTTGGCAAAGCTTGGGCTGCATACACTGCAGCTCTGCACGATAAACTGTAAGTAACATGCCCTTGTGTCCTTTAATGTGTGGATTACTCCTGGCAATGTGGATAGACTTTTCTCCCCATGCTTGGCCAGCATAGATCCACAGTATGACTCAGGGTTAGAGTTGGTTTCAGGGTTTTCCCTAACTCCTTCCTGGTACCTTTCTTTAGTGCATTTCTGTCCACAGAAATTCCCTTTTTGACTTACCTTCACTACCCCTCCTGATGTCAGAGGAAGCTGATCTAAAAGTGTCCAGGTAGACAGTATTATCCATGTCAAATGATTACCTACAGGAAGATGATCAGACTTTTGGTTTCTCCCAGGCTCAGAAGATACTGTTGTGAATCCTCACACCAACTTGTCATTGAGGGTGATAAAAGGCTCCAACACCAGAAAATCCCTACCTGTTACTCCCTCATATTGAGTATAATCTATAGGAGGACTGGGTGTGCCTGGTGAACCCCCCCCCCCCCCCAAGTTTGTGTAACATTACCTGATAGAAGAATACTTGATAGAAGAAAGCGTCTACAAGAGATGGGCAGGACTTGCAGTAGATCCTGATGTGCCTTACCTGAACAAGACCCTCACTGTTCCTGTAGACGATGATCCAGTGTTTTAAGGACCCAGTCCTTTTTCATGGTAGTGGTGGCCAAGCAACTCACAGTTGCTACCACAGGGGTTTGCCGGGCCTCACTATTCTGGGCTAAAACCTTGTCTGTCTCGGCAAAACAATGTGGTGCCCTTTGTGGGGATTCTTCTGCATGGTAGCAGTAGGAGCTTTTATCAAAAATTCTGATTATGCACCATGGACAGGTTGAGATTCTCTCCAGAAGCTTCCCTGCCTAGGTCTCATGTTGGTTCATGTTAGTTGGTGGAGCTCACATGCTAGGAACCGCTAGAATGAATGCCCTTTGGGAGCAAATGCCGTTTAGCAATGCCCTGGATATGTTTGTCCACAAAATCACTGGAGGGAAAAGCTCTCAGCTCTTGCTACTGAAGAAAAGGCAAAAGCTTATGCTACCTAAACTTCTGTGGCTTAGGCTGAGAATACCGTATTTGTCGGCATATAAGACGACTGGGCGTATAAGACGACCCCCAACATTTCCACTCAAAATATAGAGTTTGTTATATACCGCCGTATAAGACTACCCCCTCTTTCTTTTTGCTGGTGCCATGATAGGGTTGATAGGGGTTTGACTGCTGGACATTTTCTATGCTGTATTGTACTGTACAATGGTGCAGTACTGTGGTTGGCTGTATACAAAGCCAGATTGGATTGGTCCCTGCTCCCTGTCTGCCCTCCCTGTCTCCATGTCACTACCATGTCCCTGCATCTCCCTGTAATTGGCACTAGTGCGCAAGTCCGCATGTGCGACCCCTGAGTAGACAAGGGGCGGGCCGGAGCGCCACTGCTTCCCCCGCCGAGCAGAACGGGCCGGTCACGCCGAAAAGGCTGGCACCCCTGTATCGCTGCTGATGCTCGCCGCAGCCATGCTGATGACCCGCCGCGGCTGGTATGTAGAATGAGGTGGGCGGGCATCGGGAGGCCACTATGGGCACCGGGCGAGTATCGGAAGGCCACTATGGCAGCTATGTCTATCCCAACTGAAGTGCACCCGGCATATAAGACGACCCCCCCACTTGGAGGCATGTTTTTCAGGGCAAAAAAGTCGTCTTATACGCCGGCAAATATGGTAGTTCCTTTTGCCTCCCCAGAACTCAAGATCCAAACAGAAACCTGGCACTCGCTTCTGTAAGAGAGAATGGAAACCCAAGCCCTCCAAGGCTAGAGACGAGCCTTCTTTCCAGTGAAGGGGTTCCCCCACTTCAAGTGGGGGAATACTTCTTGACCTTTGCGGCCATTTTGGTCAAGATGACCCAAACATCTGGGTCCAAAACACACAGCAGAGGCAATAAACTCAAAATATTTTGCTTTGCCTCCTCCACTCATCATCAAATGTGCCTATGACACCAAAGAAAAAGTGACCTTTTTTGTTGCCCTAAAACTGTTATGCAGACTCAGTGCCTGGACCTACATATGCATCTGAACAGGAAGGCCAGGATGGTAGTAGCAGTGTTTGAGAAAGGTGGGAGCATTTAAAAGTCATTGGGCTGTGTTGTACCATCATGAGTCTGCAGGTATGCTGGGTTTTTTTGTCACCTTCAGGTGTCTTGGTTTACACACCTCCTCTCAGCTACGATTTCGGAACCAGAGTCAGACTCTGATATGTTGGTTGTAGATTACACAAATCCAAAGTGAAATGAAGAGGACATTGAGACCATGTTAGAGAAAGCTGCCTAAGATTTCTCTCTCCCACGTTGCCACTATATTGAAGGGGGAGCTTCATGCAGCATGCTTGCTAATGTTGATAAGCTCATGGACTCCGTTTGCAAAAGCCTTGCCAATTGTGTAAATTGACACTTTTCCGTCTCACCTTGCTCCTTTGGGCACAAAGACCTACAAAAATTTGCAAGAAATTCACTGTTCATAAACAGAATGTGTAGTGTATAACAATTGGCTCCCTCCTGAAAGGATTTACAGTGGAAAATGATTTGGCAAAAAGTGGGCTTTTCCTGTGGTTGACCCTACCGTTTCTATCCTAAACAAACATCTCATTGTACCTATTGTCAATGTTCCTTCTTTCAGAGATTCTGCAGATAGAAAATTTGAGATGCTCTTAAAAGCTTTCTTTAAAGGAGAAGTGTGGGATAGTACAAATAGTATCCTCACCACAGAACAGCTTTTCTTTATTTCGTCTGTACTTCTGTTTTTGCGGTGTCCTCATTCCAAGTCCTGGCTAGGTCCACTTAGGGTTTGAAAGTTTAGAAGGGGCAGTTACATCTGGAGTGATCTTCCCCTCATTCTCTTCTTTAGGTAGTTTTAAAGACTCAACGTTTTTACCTTCATTCATTCTTTGTGTGCAGCAGCCCCCCATCTCGATCCAGCGATGTGCACAAGAGCTTCAGCTGTCCTGTGCCTCTCCCCTTCTTATTGGCTGAGACGACAACGGGAGCTGTCAATCTCAGCCAGTGAGCCATTCGGAAGAGAGCAGACGTGGAGTCAACCGCGTCTGTGTGTGAATGGACACACAGCAGCAGCTCAGGACCGAGCCTACTCTGGTGTCCCCATAGCAAGCTGCTTGCTGTGGGAGGCACTTGGCAGAAGGTATGGGCCAGGAGCTCTGGAGAAGAGGAGGATTGGGACTGCTCTATGAAAAACCACTGTACAGAGCAGGTAAGTATGACATGTTTGTTTTTTGTTTTTTTTTTTCAATCTGTTGTTACAATCACTTTCAGCTCTCAGCTGTGGCCGCGCTTTTGGCCTGCGGGCTCAGGTCCAAATTACAAGCTGGAATGTGTACGCTTGTCATGTGCCTCCTTTTCCAAGGAAATGTGACATCACACAGTCAACAAGAAATGGAGGCACATAACAGTTTGCTAAGCTGAGGGAGTTGCACCTTAAGGAGACTTTACTGCTATAACTACATGTTTTTGCAGTCGCTTCCCTGCTCCACTCTGCAGAGAGAAAGCACTTATTGGAAAGGTCAGCAGGGTTAAAGTTCTGCTGCTTTTTTTTAGGCTTTCATCTTTCTATTTTCACTTGGTGATCTGACCAGTAACACATCACCTGTATTAGGGTTCCTGCACTCTGCATAAAGGAGCAATAGAGACACCAGCATTGGTTTAGACACCAGCAGGGGTAGGCAACCTGCGGCTCTCCAGCTGTTTGCAGGACTACAAGTTCCATCATGCCTCTGCAAGTCATAGCTGTAACTGTCAGTTTTTGTAATATTGCAATGCCTCATGGGAAATGTAGTTCCACAACAGCTAGAGAGCCGCAGGTTGCCTACCCCTTGTTTAGGGGGAGGGAAGTGTTAGATTCACTAGCAGATTTTAGATACAAATTGAAGACAAACTTCAGCTAATATTTTATAAGCCATTACAGCAACAGTTTTAACCCTTTTGGAATAAAGGTTTTACACAAGCTGACCACTGAAAGCACCCCTATCAGTGTTAAATGGTTTGTCTCAACCCTCAATTGTTATATCTGCAGGAGAACTTGCTCTGTTGAAAAAGCAGACTTGCTGGCAGGATGGGGGGGGGGGGGGCAGAGCAGACAGCGGTGACTGACAGTGTGAGAACTCAGTGGTCTGGTTGGCAGTCATGTAGTCGCTGAGTTCTCACACATAGAGCCAGCGGGGACAGATGCAGCATCGGACCAATGCTGCATTCACCTAGGTAAGTATTGATGGGCAAAAAAAAAAAAACTATTGCTTCTAATAATTGGGAAGCTGCAATATAATGTTTTTGCTTTTGGGTTTAATACCACTTTAAGGCTGTTGCCATGTTTGACATCTACAAACGTGCATCTCTGAAAATGACTTGTAACTCGTGTGCAAAAATAGCAATTTTCTTATATTAACCACCTCCCGCCATATAGTCCAATGACGGAGCAAGGTGGTTCTCTCGTTCTGGGAGGACGCCATATGACGTCCTCCCATTCTCACCCGCGCATGCGCGGCTCAGGAGCGCACAGCGTGGCGATCGGCGGTGCGCTGTGTTCCTCGGGCACAGATCACCGATCCACGAAAGAGCCGAAGATGTCGGCTCGGTCATGTGATCAGCTGTGTCCAATCACAGCTGATCACATGTAAACAGGAAATGCCGGTTTATCGCATTTCTCCTCCTCACGAGCTGTCACGCTGACAGCTCGAGAGGAGAGCCAGTAATCTGCATTCCGTGGAGGGGACATGTACACTGATCATCAGGGCACTGATGATCATTGTGGCCCCAGAAGTGCCACCTGTCAGTGTCCATCAGTGCCAGCTGTCAGTGCTGAACAGTGCCAGTGCCCATCAGTGCCACATATCAGTGCCTACCAGTGCACACCAATGCCACATATCAGTGCCCATCTGAGCTGCCTTTCAGTGCCACCCATCAGTGCCAGTCAGTGCCACCTATCAATGCCTATCAGTGCCATTCAGTGCCGCCTATAAGTGTGCATCGGTGCCAGTCAGTGCTGCCTTTCAGTGGCCATCACTAATGCCTGTCAAGGCCCATCAGTGCCACCTACCAGTACCACCTATCAGTGCCCATCACTGCAGCCTCATTAGTGCACATCAGTGAAGGAGAAAAATCACTTATTTACAAAGTTTTATAACAAAAACTAAGAAAAAACCTTTTTTTTTTTTTTTTTTCAAAATTTTAAGTGGTGTTTAGTTTGTTTAAGAAAAAATAAAAAAACCCAGAGGTGAAAAACCAATTCAATACCGTGCAATTTTACCCTTCCTGCCCAGGCCACCATTTTTCAGGTTTCAGCGCTCTCACACTTTGAATGACAAATGCGCATATGTGATACAACATTGTACCCAGACTAAAAATTTTATCATTTTCTTCACACAACTAGAGCTTTCTTTTGGTGGTATTTAATCATCGCTGGGTTTTTATTTTTTGCTAAATTAACAAAAAAGACCGAACATTTTGGAAAAAAAAAAACGTGTTTTTCTTTGTTTCTGTTATAAAAGTTTGCAAATAATTGTTCTTCATAAATTTAGGCCAAGATGTATTCTACTACATGTCTTTGGTGAAAATAACCCAAATTAGGATGTATTTTTAGTTTGTAGGAAAGTTAGAGTTCACAAACTATGCTATAGATGTGAATATTGATCAATCCTGAAGTACTGACAGCCAATCTAATTTCTTGAGGTCCAAGAAATGGTCAGAATAGTACAGATATCCCCAAAAGAACCCTTTTTTGCAAAGTAGACAGTCCGAAGTCCCTGACGAACTTCATAAGAGGCATGGCGAGTTTTTTGAAGTTGTAATTTTTTTTTTGTCATAATTTTTGAAAAATTAAAATTATTTTTCACTATTTTTTTTTTTTTACATACTGTCACCAGTGCAGTACAGCATCATCATATAACTGGCATGGCGGTGATCAGGACACTGACTGGTGACAGTGTGAAAAAAAAATAAAATATATATTTTTTTTTTATTTTCTTTATTACATTTTTTTCTTTTTTTTAAGTTTCTCTTTCATATTTCACTACGTCCAAAAGTAGTACAATGTTACCATAGTAACATTGTACTACTTTTGGGGAAGTGATCAGTATTTTTTTTTTTTACACAATTTTCTTATAGCAAAGAATTACTTTTTTTTGCTATAAGCAAGCATTTACCTGAATGACATCGATTCAATTCAGGGGTTTTTTTTTTTTGTTTTTTTTTTTTTTTTTGTGCTTAGCTGTGATTTGGCCACAGCTAATCACATGACATGTGCATGTGATTTGCTGTGACCATTCACAGCTAGACACTAAGTATACAATGGATGGCATGAATGAAGCCATCCATTGTATACAACTGTCATGTGACCTGCTGTGATTGTCACAGCAGGTCACATGGCACCAGCAACGGGGGCCGGTACTCAGATCTGTCATCGGCCGTGAGTCCAAGGTACACGGCCGGTGACAGAGCGAGCTGCTGCGCGCTCTGCAAGCGCGCGAACTGCGCATGTGCGGAGGATGCCATATGGCGGCCTCCCGGAAAGCTAATAACATTTTTTACGGACGCCATTTGGCCATAGGCCGGCGCGTCAAATGGTTAAATACCACCAAAATAAAGCTCTATCTGTCACAAAAAAGTGCTAAAAATTTTCAGATGGGTACAGTGTTGCATGCCGCCGCGCAATTGTCATTCAAATGTGTGAGAGCGCTGAGAGCTGGAAATTGGCCTGGACAGGAAGGGGGCATAAGTGTCCTGTAGGCTAGTGGTTACACTTGCATACAAAATAAGTTATCTGTTATCTATTTCAGCTTTCCAAACAGAAGGCAAATTATACCTTATTCTGGATTTTCTCAGGGGTGGAGATTTGTTTTACACGTTTATCCAAAGAGGCAAGTATTATAAGTTTATCTTTCAAATGATTTTGTATTATCTCAGTTATTAATTAAAAAATTGATGCACCCACCCCTAACCTTCATTCTAATACTTGTGTATTCATGACTGATTGCTAAAAGGTGTTTACCCAGGTGGTTAAAGCAGACCTGTCATTTACATTTGAAAAATCTATGCGTTAAATATGTGAAAATCTATTTCCTTCCCCCCCTTCCCCTCCCTTCCCCCCCCCTTCCCCTACCCTTCCGTCCCCCCCCCCCTTCCCACTCCCTTCCCCTCCCTTCCCCCCCCCCTTCCCCTCCCTATCCCCCCCCCCCTCCCCTCCCTTTCCCCCCCACCCCCTTCCCCTCCCTCTCCCCCCTTCCCCTCCCTTCCCCCCCCCCTTCCCCTCCCTTCCCCCCCCCCCCCCCCCCTTCCCCTCTCCTAATCCCCCCTTCCCCCCCTTCCCCTCCCTTCCCCCCCCTTCCCCTCCCTTCCACCCCCCTGCCCCCTCCTTCCCTTCCCCCCTTCCTTCCCTCCCCCCTTCCTTCCCTTCCTGCTCCCCTCCCTTCCCCCCCTCCCTCCCTTCCCCTTCCCTCCCTCCCTTCCCCCCCTTCCCCCCTTCCTCCCCCCTTCCCCCCTTCTCCCCCCTCCCTTCCCCCCTCCCTTCCCCCCCCTCCTTCCTTCCCTCCCCTCCCTCCCTCCCCCCCCTCCCTCCCCCCCTTCCTTCCCAAGCCCCCCTTACCCTCCCCCCCTGGCTTCTTCCCTTCCCCCCCCCTTCCTTCCCCCCCCCTCCTTCCCCCCCCCTTCCTTCCCTCCTTCCTTCCCTCCCCCCCTTCCTTCCCATCCTTCCTTCCCTCCCCCCCTTCCTCCCCCCCTTCCTTCCCCGTCCCCCCCTTCCTCCCCCCCTTCCCTGACATCCTAGGCTGCAAGCTGTGTGATAGGGAGACACTGCTGTAGTCTCTTTAAGCACAGATGGCTTCATAGGACACTGCAAGAAGATAGAAGAAGCCACCCTGAAATGGGCAACCTGGTGCTGCAGTCATGGAAAATAGAAAAGGATTTTTAAAGATAAATGAGCTGCATACTCATATTTTGGGTTTTTTTTACTGTATGTTACTGCATTTATGAAATTTTTCCTCACTTAATGTCCCCATGACTCCAGTACAGCACAGGGAAATGGAGAGGTGTGGCTGTCGCCAGTTATAACTCTTTCCACTCTAAAAATGTGTCCCTTTTTGGGGAGATTTGGTAGGACAGGAAATCTCAGATGATGCTCTCTTGTTCCATCTAAAATAAATTTTGACTGGAGCTGGGCTTTGATACTTAATGTATTAGTGTTAGATCATAGCTTTGCACACTTGCCCACAGCCACTTCCCTTTTTTTTGCTCATGGGATGCTTCATAGCCACATCTTAATAAGATCTGAAAAATTCATGTAGCTGCACTATGGGTGGATTGATACCCATTTTCAGTGTGCTTATAACAGGAAGTTTAAAATAGGTAATTGATGTCTAAGGAACCATTAACACCTTGGTCAGGTGTCAGGTTAGCAGCATATTCAAATGGGTAAAGCTAGCAGTGCACCTAACATCCAAAAAAAAGGAACATGCACCACTTTTTTGGAAAGCAATCACCACAATGCAGTGTAGTGCAATACTGTGCACTGCATCTCATTTGCATTGGAACTGCATTGCCTTAGTGTATTTGAGTGCCCTTCAAAATGATGTAGCGCACATTACAGTAACACGCAAAAGCATGTTTGGGCCCTCAATGCTTTTAGTTCATGAAAAAATATAGCATGAGCCATTACATACAGGACTTGTATTTTTATAGAGTAATTTTTTCTTTTTTTTTTTTTTTATGTAGGTAATGTTCACTGAAGAGGATGTGAAATTATTACCTGGCAGAATTGGCACTTGCTTTAGATCATCTTCATACTCTTGGTATTATATATCGAGACCTTAAGCCAGAAAAGTAAGTGATCTATTTAAATAAACCAGACCTAGAACTGCAATTTAAAAACTGGACTATCTCATAAGTTGTATGGCAAGCCTGACACAGCTAAAATCTATTACCTTCAACATGGGGGTATATTTTTAAAATCCCACATTTGCAGGTGCATCATTCTGAAGTATTTGTTTTAAATTATGATTGAATGACCTGCAATGAATGTTTGGTGAATGTCACATTCACTGCTTGATAAATGTCCCTTTGTTTTTCTTTACTTGCATTGCACTAATTTCTTTCAGCTCTATGCTAAGATGACTTCAATATTTGCATTTTCAAAGAGTGTAGAAGAGAAGTTGCTCCCATTTGAGAATGTAAGGTATATTGCCACTTAACCAGTTGCACCAATTTTCAGTGTGCAGCACAAATAGCTGTTTCCTGAACTTCAATATTGATTTTCAAAGCTGCTGATATTGGCTTAGATTCTTGATAAGCTTAGAGGCCCCAGAGCTATGCATTGCATAAACAATTTTCCCTTAGGACTTGGAGAGGACTTGTTAAGCCTCTTTGTCAGAAAGCAGCAATATTTGGAGTTTGCTGTACGGTTAACAGCCAGCCTGATGTTTTACACCAATACAATGTATTCAGAAAATATTCAGATCCCCTTCACTTTGTTCAATTTTTTGTTATTTTGCAGCCTGATACAGTTCTTTAAATTCATTTTTTTTTTCATTCATCTACACTCAGTACCCCTTAATGACAAAGTGAAAACAGGATTTTAGAAATGTCTATGAATATGTTAAAAATAAAAAACTGAAATATCACATTGGCATAAATATCCATACCTTTTGCAACAACACATGAAATTTAGCACAGATGCCTCCCATTTCTCTTGATCGTTGCTGGGATGTTTTCTTCGCCTTGATTGGAGTCCACCTATGGTATATTAAATTGATTGGATATGATTTGGAAAGGCACAAACCTCTCTATAAAAGGCCTCCTAGCTGACAATGCATACTTTATCAGAGCAAAAGCCATGAGGTCAAAGAATCTGCAGAGCTCAGATACAGGATTATTGCAAGGCACAGATGTGGGAAAGGCTAAAAAACATTTCTGCACTGATGGTTCCCAAAAGCACAATGGCCTCCATAATTCTCAAATGGAAGACGTTTGGCACAACCAGGACTCGTTCAAGAGCTGGTTGCTCAGTCAATCTGAGCAATCGGGGGGGGGGGGGGGGGGGCCTTCGTAAGAGGGGTAACCAAGAACCCAATGATCACTCTGACTGAGCTCCAGGGATCCTGTGTGGAGATGGGACAAAGTTCCAGAAGGACAACCATCACTGCAGCCCTCCACTAATCAGGACCTTTTTTTTTTTTTTGTTAAAGCTAGTTTAGTTCCACTTTAATCATTTTTGTATTAGGAATGCTGTAAAATACACTTAAAATGAATGTTGACTTAGAATGTTTTTTTTTTCTAGTATATTGCTTGATGAAGAAGGACACATTAAGTTAACAGGTATGTCGCACAGTTCTGTTGTCTGTAGAACATGAGCTCTAATGGTTGCATCCTAAAGATTTTCACTATTTACATAATGGCCCAGAAAGGTCTTCTGACACAAAATAATGATTCATATGAATTGGTCATAAAATATTACTAGATTTTTTTTTAAACCCCAAAAACCTATAGTGCAGTGCTAGTACTAATTCCATGTACGTGAAAGTACACATGTACATGTAGGAATGTATTTTATCTTTTACTTATAGTAACCACTTGCCCTCTGGAAGATTTACCCCCCTTGTTGACCAGGCCATTTTTTGCTTTTTGGTGTTGCGCGATTTCAACTAATAATTGCGCAGCCATGCAATGCTGTACCCAAACAAAATGTATGTCCTTTTTTTCACACATATAGAGCTTTCTTTTTTTGTGGTATTTGACAATATTTTCTCATTTCTGTTATAATAAAATATCCAATATACTCAAAGTTCATCATAAATGTAGGTCAGAATATACGTTGCTACATTTCTTTGGTTAAAATAAAATCCCAATAAGTGCATATTGGTTTATGTGAAAGTTAGTGTCTATAAACTATGCTATAGATAGTGGAATTTATGCAATTTTTTGCTGCGCTGGTTTAATTGACAATTGTGCGGTCATGCAATGCTGTACATAAATTAAATTTGTCATTTTGTTGCCACAAATAGAGCTTTTTTTGGTGGTATTTGATAACCTCTGGGCTTTTTATTTTTTGCGCTATAAACAAAAAGACCAAAAATTTTGAAAAAAATATTTTCTCATTTCTGTTATAAAAAAATATCCAATATACTCAAAGTTAGTCATAAATTTAGGCCAGAATGTATTTTGCTCTTGTCAAACTATGGTACCCCTCTTTGCCAGTCCCTCCTCTGGCTCCTGCTCAGCCAATGAATAAAATTCAAGATACTTACAACTTATAAAGCCATCCACAACTTAGCTCCTAGTTACACTATCATGGTCTCAAAATACCAACCAATTCGTTCTCTTTGTTCCTCCCAAGACCTCCTGCTGTCTAGCTCCCTGGTCACCTCCTCCCATGCTCGCCTCCAGGACTACTCCAGAGCAGCTCCCATCCTCTGGAACTCCCTTCCCCAATGTGTCCAACTATCCCCATCTCTGCCCACTTTTAGTACCATCCCCCACAGTTATTACCTGTTGTATCTCTCGACCCTCCCTCTTAGATTGTAAGCAGGGCCCTCTGAATCCTCCTGTATTCATTTGTATTGTATTTGTACTGTCTGCCCTTATGTTGTAAAAGCGCTGCGTAAACTGTTGGCACTATATAAATCCTGTATTATAATAATAATAATGGTATGGAAACTGGAATTTACACAGCTTTTACTTTGTCTATCACATTTTCTTGAGCTGCTGAAATGTCAGGACAGTACAAACACCCCCAATTGACTTTTTTGGAAAGAAGACACCCTAAGCTATCTGCTGAGAGGCATGTTGAGTCCATGGAGGATTTATTTTTTTCTCCTACAAGTTTTTGGAAAATGATGAAAAAATTATTATTTTTTTTACACAAAGTTATCATGGCATATTGTTCACACACATGCCATGCGTGTAATTGGAATTACACCCAAAGATATATTCTGCTACTTCTGAGTATGGGGATGCCACATATGAGATCTTTTGGCAGCCTAGCTGCATACAGGAGCTTGAAATCCAATATCCCCTTTGAAAGCCTTTGGTGCATAAATTTCTTATTTCACTTCCTTACTACCTATCACCATTTCAGAGGCTCTGAAATTCCAGGATCTCACAATCCCCCCACAAATTACCCCTTTTTCGAAACTAAACACCCCAGACTATTTGCTTAGAGGCATGTTGAGTCAATGTAATGCTTTATTTTTTTACCACGTTTTTGGAAATGACAAATAAAAAATTTTTACACAAAGCTGTCACGTAAATGATATATTGCTCACACATGCCATGGGTATATGTGGAAATAAACCCCAAAATACATTCTGCTACTTCTACTGATCATGGTGATACCACATGTGAGTCTTTTTGGGAGCCTAGCCACATACAGGAGCCCGAAATGACAACTTTGTTAAAAAAAAAAAAAAAGTTTTATATATAATTTTTTTTATTATTAGTTATAAATATATATATTTTTTTTTTTTCTAAAAGCGTGGTAAAAAATGAATTCTTCTATTGACTCAACATGCCTCTCAGCAAATAGTTTTTGGTGTCTACTTTCCAAAAAAGGGACATTTGGGGGGAGGGGGTTGTTATCTTGGCATTTTATGCCCAGCATTAGAAGCTTATGCCACACATCACTCACTCTTCTAACCACTTTATATCTACACAGGAGGTCTAGTGCTAGAGTTACTGCCATCGATCTGACATTTGTGGCGATACCTCACATGCATGGTGCAACTGCTATTTGAATTCCAACACGGGGCCTACGCTTGCGTACGCCGTTATGCGCACATGTTTGGGGATGAGGGTGCTTTTTAATTTGGATTTATTTTTAAGTATTTTTACACTGTTCTTTCATTTTTTTTTTTTTTTTTTTTTCACTTTTATTATCATGGAGAATGTAAATATCCTCTGTGATAGCATTAGGCAGTGACATGTATTCTTTTCTGAGAAATCTGGGGTCTCTTAGACTCTAGATATCTCCTCTGCCCTTAAAGCGGAGTTCCAGTTGAATAAAAAATAAAGCCAGCAACTACAAAAAACCTGTAGCTGATGACTTTTAATATAGCGGTGTCTTCTCTCCCTGGCAATAGCATCTTCAGCTTGTGGCTTCACAGCTGGGTGCCCACTGCGCATACGCGAGTAGCGCTGCTCTTTGTAAATGGTCCTGTAGTCTTCTGGGTCCTGTCACGTATCCCAGAAGACTGTGGGGAGGGAGCGGGGGATGACAACTTATGCTTCCGATCGCCTTCAGCGATCACACCGGTAGTGAGAGCGGGTACCTGTCAAATTCGGGTACCCGCTCTCCAAAGGTGCTATACCTAACCGGGAGCTGGGAACAAAGCCTTAAAGTGGAACTTCCCCTATTGGGTGGAGCTCCGCTTTAAATCAACCAAGATCGGTCTGATCAGATGCTTTCCCAATTTAAAAAATGGCTCTGTTTATATCCGGCGAAACTGAAATGATGCTCGTAGCTTCCGGTTTCTTAGACTATAGAAATGATTGGCTCCATTCCGGTCTCCAATCAGCTCTATGGTCAGCTGGCAGAAACGCCGACTGCATTCTTAGGTTCCCCCGGTGGGACAGCGCGGCTAAACGGCCACTAGGATTGCTTTTACAGGAAAGCCAATCGCCGGATGAATAAAACGATACCAGGATGAAACCTGCCATCCAGTGATGTACCAGTATGTTGCTGGTCCCTTTTTTTTGTTTTATTTTTTATGCAGCCTGTGGGCTGAATGAATTAGAAGAAATCTTGACCAAAAAAGTGTGTGGTATGCCCATCATTAAAATATATAGCCCTGCATCCACCCATTTCTAATGGTGGGCATTATTGAAATATTTTTTTTTTTTCGTTCAGATTCCTCTATTTACATCAATCAATGTGGATGAAGAAATCTCTGCCAAAAAAAAATAAATTAAAAAATATATGCCGACGCATAGGGGCGATCCACCCAGGCCCCCATGCTTAGGCGCATATGCTCTTTTTTTTTTTAAACTGCGGATGAAAAATCTCATCCAACAGCGCTGCACACACGAACGTATATTCTGAGAGCAAGACCCCCTGTTGCTGTCAGAATAAACAGATCAGTGCTGCGGCTGAATGGCATTCCTGCAAAGAGAACAGCAATGGTTAATAATAAAATGGTAACTCAGTAAAACCAACCTTTTTTTATTGAAATCTGTGCCAAAAAATATTTTAAAATATATATGCTGAAGCATAGGAGCGATCCACCCACTGACCAACCCAGGCCCCCATTTGGCGCATATGCTTTTTTTTTTTTTTTTTTTTAACTGCAGATGAAAAATCTCATCCAACAGTGCTGCACACACTAACGTATATTCTGAGAGCAAGACCCTGTTGCTGTCAGAATAAACAGATCAGTGCTGCGGCTGAATGGCATTCCTGCAAAGAAAACGACAATGGTTAACAACAGTAACTTAATAAAACGACTATTTTTTTTTTTTTTTTTTTTTTTTAAACATCCAAATATTAAGGTGTCTCAAAATGTGATAGCAAGTTTCTTGACTAACATCTTTCGAGACCCTGTGTATATATGTGCCCTAGACTGTGCTGTCCTGTACCCTATACGAATACTCCACTAGTGTGTGGTAGTGACGGAAGCAGTCCTTGAGGTAGAGACCAGGTTGGCCAGGACAGGAGGGACAAAAAGAAGCGGGTGTCACACCTAATTCCGTGTCTGCTACAGACACGTCTTTTTTAGGGTGACTTTTGCGTTGGGTTACCAGGAATGGCATCAGGAAAATGCCTCTCATGCAAGCAGCTAACTGCATCTGGTTTGGGGGTTTGAGCCACAGCTCCTTCTGGATACAAAAGGGCCGTGATGATGATATCTTCTTGGAATTTTAGGAAGGATCCCCTTCTTTCAGTTGCTTTGTAAATCACAAAAGCGTTGTACAGAGCCAATTGGAATAAATATACAGACACTTTTTTTTGTAACAGCATGTGGATTTAGGGGAAAACTAAGTACGGCTTTTGGTCGTTAAAGTCCATTGACCGTTGAAGATTATAGTGGTCGACCCACCAGCTTCCGTGGAAGTTTGGATGGTCGTGTCTGCGTGAATGGAAGGCAGGATGAAAATATCCCGTTTGTCCTTCTACTTCACTGTGAGCAATTCATTGTATTTCAAGCATGCTTTCTCCGACTTTCTAAGACAGGTAATTAAAAGCTGATGGGGGAAGCCCTGGGGATTAGATTGCGTTGTGCCACATGCTCCAGTTCCAAGATTGTACAAATGTCTAAATAGTGGCATGCTTGTATAAAAATTGTCCATGTATAAGTGGTACTCCATATGGAAAAATGGTGAGACACAGTCCCAAAACTATCTTGCCACCACTCCTCATGTAGTCTGGGCATCCAGGGGGCTCCACGTGACTATCTTTTCCCTCGTAAATCCGAAAATTATATGTATAGCCTGTTGCCCTCTTGCAGGTCTTATACATCTTGACCCCATTTCTGGCATGCTTGCTGTTGTATAATCGACTGCAAGGTGGCCAGAAAAATTAATGAGGGGACTCAACGCAGATGTTTTCCTTGGGAGTATAGACATCTGCAAATTTCTGGTTAAGGTGATTTACGAATTTTGTGGAGCCAGTCATATAGATGGTCACCTCGAGGATGACAGAGTGTATTGTCATTGAAATGCATAAATTGCCTTATAGTCTCATATCTATGCCTGGCCATGGCAGCAGAGAACACTGACATATGATGAATCGGGTCTGTGGACCAATACAACCGCAATTAATTTTTTTTAGTAATGCTCATGTTGAGGGTTAGGACAAAAAAAACTTTAAATTCTGAAACTAACAGGTTTCCATGCAAGTGGTCTGGCAAGGTTTGAATTTGGGTTGGCGGGGATAAATTTTTAATGCGTGTAAATTGCTTTGATCCACAATCAATCAATACAGATCTTCCATGAAAAACCGCTCCAAAAAAATCAAGGGGAGTAGTCAAATTTGCTGTTTCCACAGGAATTCGGGGTTAGGCAGTGATTGGGGGAAGAACAGGTGCTGCAAAATTTGTGGGCTGCCAGTCAGGATTTGCAAGCACATCTTGAAGCACGCTATGGGCTCTATGGGCTTGTGTTTGACTTCTTGGTGACTGCGGGACACTACTTGTGCTAGCCACTGTACTGCACTTATGGGACTCGCCACGTCACCAACTGATACTGCAGTGCTGGTATGTATAAGACCAGGATGTACTAGGCCGCTGGTGCTCGCCAGTTCACCAAAAAAGTAGATTGGCACTAGTACTGGCATTCTGCTGCATATGAGAATTATCATGCAATTGTAACACCTCAGCAACCTGGGAGTGGGGTTGGGTACGCCTTACCTTAGCAGGGATCTCTAATCCATCGTCTGAGCTATCTGTAAGGGTGCCACTTCTCTCAACAGGTCCGTATTCTGAGCCTGATTCTCTGTGAGGCTTTCCCTTAGCTCTCATTTGACATGCTCAGAATCCTGTAGGCCTATTCACTAGTGTACCTTTCGTTGGACATTTTAGCCATTAAATTTATAGGTACCTAGAGCGACTCATGGGAAAAAGAGCACCTAGCTGTCAGGGACTGCTTGAAGAGCTACAAAAAAAATTACCTGGTAGTGCTAGCAGAGATCAGGCCTGATCTTGCTAACCCTGCAGTTTTGTGTGCAATGTATCAAGTGACAGTGATCTGCTGACACTGCACTTGCTGGTGGAGAAGGTGGGGGTTAATTATATAGACCAAACCTAGGCGCTGGCAGGTGTCAGGGCTGATCCTTCTTAAAGCTGCATTTTTGGGGACACTATATAATTGTGAACGCTGGTATAGTGCTGATCTAATCAAAGATATTGATCCGTTCAGACACTATACTAGGAATGGAGGTTTATTGTGTATGTGAGCATGTTTCTGGCAATCAAAGGGTTAAATGATGACTGATGTAGTGGCGGGCAATCCGACACTATCTGAGTGAGGGACGCTGATGCTAAAGCTGACAAGTCGCCGGTGACACTAGTACAATGATTAGTAAAAAAAATTTGTACACTGTACTAGTGACACTGGTGACAGGGCAGTGAAGGGGTTAATGGGGGGGGTGGTGATAAGAGGGTTAAATGTGACCTATCAGTGCTTTTAGTGTGTGTGTGTTGCTTTGACTCACACGGATCTGCTTTCTTCTCTTTCTGGAACAGAATGTGCTCCAGGGAGAGAAGATTGCATAATTTCCTGTGCCTGTGTAATGTAAGCACAGGCTGAGATCTGATTTAGCCGATCCAGGGCAAACATCATTGGCCTGAACCTGCTGAGTGATCGGTGCTGTACCGAATCACAGCACCGGCAGGCGATTGCTTGAACCCTGCCTGTGAACATGGCGGGAGCTCGATCTCGGGTATATATACGTGATTTTGCACAGGGAGTCCGCCCTGTAGCAGTAAAACTGCAAAAGGGCTGAGTTTAACTGGTTAAAGCAGAACTATAAGCTCATTTTGTATACATGCTTTAATTTCAGAATGCTAGGAAAACATGTAAAATTGTCTTCCCAATGGTTGCAGATTTGTGTGTTCTAGGTGGTGTGCATGTCCCTGGAAACTGTCCTCTGCATTGATCTTTCCCAGCTGCTGAGCTCTGGGGTCATTGGCTTTCTCTGCCTTCCTCAGTGTATGTCAGGACACTCAGTTCTGTATAAAATTGCTTAGTTTTATGTAACTACTTCTAGTCCAGGTTACATCTTCCCTTTGTTACTTCCCTCAGCTTTAAGTCTCTCCCACAAGCAGGAGGCAAATAAGCTGAGAAAGCTATAGTGCAATATAGGATAGAATACAAAGCAAATTCATTTAAGGGCTCTTTCACACCAGCTTGTGCACTTTAAAGCCAGCCATACATGGATGGAAATTCGGCCGGTCCAGCAGGGACCAGCTGAGATTCGATCCATGTATGAGCAGGCTAATTGTATTCAAGTCAATTCATTAATTGACTTTGGTACAACCAGCCTGTCGGATTTTTTTTATTTCGATTACTGTCAGTGGTTGTAGTAACCATTGTGTTCTGCCTGCTGGGAAGGTGCCCCAGGCCCCTTACCCCCACTGGCAAAACGCAATAGCGCTGTGGGAGGGATTTCCCCATCAACACTCTTTGTGTTGATGGGGGAATCAAGCAAAAGGAAAATCGAGTAATCAATACTGTTTTGTTTTTGTTTGTTTTTTTATTTATTATACTAAAGTATCACAAAATTACACATTATCAACTCTTTTCACCTCAGCGCTTTGAAATGTGATGCTATGCACGAAAATGCAGACATGCATACCCCAGGTCTCCCCACCACAGTGTTGTGTTAAAAGCAGGACATATGGAAAATCATTGTTCTGCTCTTTATTCACTGCTTGGTAAGATGCCTGATGACATTGGGTAGTTTTTTGCTTCTGGATTTCTGGGAAGTCTGCTATGTATATAACCTTACATTGTAGCTTTCACTTATTTTATTTGACATACTGGAAGTTTCTTGCAAATTTTGTAGTGGAGATTACCACTACCTTTTTCTTACAAAGCAAGCTATCTTACCCCTTCAGTAGGTAGCTATACTAAGCAATTTACCTTTACCAGATTTTCATGTTTGTTCCTTTTGTAGATTTTGGGCTCAGCAAGGAGTCAATTGATCATGAGAAAAAAGCATACTCCTTTTGCGGGACAGTGGAGTACATGGCTCCAGAGGTTGTAAACAGAAGGGGCCACACACAGAGTGCTGACTGGTGGTCCTTTGGTGTCCTCATGGTAGGTCATATTTATTGTTGTAACTCTCTACCTGCTTTGTTTGTTTTTCACTGTATCCTGACTCATTTCATTGTATTTTTAAGCATACTCTCTAGATCCATGTGAATATACTGTATACTATGTCTTTACCTTATTCTAATATCAAGACCTAGTTTAGAATTGTTTGGGTTAGGCAGTGTACCAAAAATGTGGATTTTCCTCAGCAGATGTACCCTTTCAAGCACAAGTCACTTCCGAATGGCTTTAGCAGTAGGGGATGAAAATTACCTAAAATCTCTCAGTATGTGTGCAGGTTTCAACCATCTGCCTTTAATACATTTTTGTTTTGCCATAATTTGGCCTGTAACCAATAGTTACTGCTATTTTATTTCAATTTATGGCACGATTTGTTACAAAAAATATAATCTTTAGAGTCTTTATCAACTTTGAAAATATATATACATACATAGTGGGATTGGTAATTAGCATAGGTTTTCGTATGTGTTATTGCACTTAATCTGAGCACCACAAACCGAAAATGCTATTTAGTTCATTTTTAATATTCAACACAAACTTTATCCATCCATATCTCCATGCTTTAATTTGCTGAGAAATCACTTTGAAAAACATTCCTTGCCTTTCTGGCTGTGGCCATCTTGAGAAGGGGGAGATGATTAATGTATCATTTGCTTCCTAGAATCCATCTACCCTTACCTTAGCATGCAGGCAGGAGGGTGTACATAGCTGAGAAAACCCCTCTTGAAGACTCCTGGGATTTTTGCCTAGGCCTGGAAACCAGGAAGTAACTGAAGAAATGTAAAGAAACAGTTTAAAACAAATATAATATACCTTCCTATCTATTTACTAATGCTAGCAGCATAAGGATTAAAAATAGTGCTTGAGAGTGAAGTTCCACTTTGGGGCCAGTTCACACCAGAATGCGGTGTGGAAACCCACCTTTTGTGTGAGTTTCCCACACCATGTTCAAAACAAACTGTAGTTGCGGTCTGCAGTGGGTGTCAATGATAAGTTAATGACACCCCAAACTTAGTGCGTTTGCCCACACAGAATCATATGGTACAGAAGTACCATTAGATCCTGTTGCAGTGCATTTCCAAAAGTAGTACATGCACTACTTTTGGTGCTGTAAAATTTCAGTCCATTCAAAATCGGTGGGGGTGAAATCTCATCGCACAGGACTGCATGTGAACTGTGGTGCGAACCAGCCCTAAAAGTAGAACTGAACTCAACAAATGAAGATTTGCTGTGTTAAAGGGAACATTTATTAAAAGAAAAGAAAATGTGATCTAGCAATTCCTTGACAAAGAGCTACTTTTTTGTCTTGAATTTATCCTGAAAAAACAGAACACGTCCTGGTATGTGTGAGTGCTTAATCACTCCTTGTGTCTACTGCCTCATAGCTGTATTTGTGCATTGAGATCTGAGGCAATGCTGCTTCTGACTGCTAGTCTCAGGAGATTTGGTGAGATCATTGTGGTGCTGCTCATTGTTCTTCTTGCTGGAGTCTCTGAAATGATGATGCAAAGCCCTGCCTCTACCAAGATGGAAGCCTCCATACAGAGGCACAGTTAAGAACAAGGCATAGTAAGTTGGCAATAGGGAAAAGGTCTACTATTTTTATACCATAGGCAATTCTAGTGAATTATCCTTTAACCTGTGCCTGACCTTTTTTTTTTTGTCAGGAGAGGAAACTGCTTCCAGTGTGTTCAGCTCCTCTTTAACGTTCTCAGATTACATTTCACATTATAGTTCAACATTGTCCTTTTCCTTTGAATTCATCGAGCAGTGCTTGGAAAATGATTGCAGTATGAACATCCCACTGCGTTAGCCTGTTGCTAGTGTACCTCAGTGGCATATGTGTACTTGCACAGATAAGAGTTCCACAGTCAGCTTAGAAGAAATACTTGGTTCCTCTTGCAGAACCTCCAAGATAGAAAGAACTGAAATCCATTACATGGAACAGGTGGGCCAGGGACAGCAATATTGGGAAGGACTGACTAGTACAGTGGTCTCCAAACAGCAGCTCACGGGCCAAATACTTACCTTTATGCGCCTTTGGAACTATTCTTCCCGTTTTTTTTTCTTTTAATTTTCACTTCCATTGACCACCAAGGTGAGGTTTACTTCCACTTATGATGGGACATTTTCTGCTCCCACTAGCCACAGCCTTGCCCCCCTGAACATTTGAAAAACAGTTTGCTTGCCCTTTGTTTAGAAAGTTTGGAGACCCTCTGGACTTAAACATCCCAGATTTCCCCTAGGTAGAAATGAGGCAGGCTCTTTTCTGAAATGCTGCAGATTCTACTGTACTGAGAGGCTCACAGTGTGCAATGAAATCAGAATAAGACATTTCATTACAGGAGATGAGCCAGTACAATTTTGGAAGTCATGAGGTAAGAGCGGAGTTCAGCTTTAAGCCGGGTATTTAGTTTAAACTGTTTAAAATAACTTGACGTTTTACGTGAATGGAACTTTTTACATGTAATGTTAGGACCTTCTGTAGCAACAGAAAGGTTGCAGTGGTGTGCAGTTGATTATATTCATGTAAAAGTTTGCATAACTGACAATTATTACAAAACCGTGACTAGGTGTGTTGTTTCTAGCAGCGTTTCTTTGACACGTTGGATATGTATTTGGTCTCATCAGTAATGACCAGTATTGCACATAGGGATACATTCGTAGACTGTTAGGGGAATGCCTTTTTAGCTAACGTATTGTGTATTTATTGATCTTTTCTGTCAGCGCATGCCTCTCACACTGTATTTTCTACCCTCAGTTTGAAATGCTTACTGGCACCTTACCTTTTCAAGGAAAGGACAGAAAGGAAACCATGACCATGATTTTGAAGTGAGTAAAAGCTACTTGTAAGCACTTAAAGTTTTGAATCTTTAGTCAAGTGGGCCCTGACGTTTCACTTAGACACTTTAATAACATTTTAGGAAAATGAGGATGGGTGGCATTACATTAGCACAAGAATATTAGGTATTCCTTCTTAAAATGTTACTAAACCCATAACAGTAAAATCAGCCTGTATACAGTCAGGTCCATAAATATTGGGACATCGACACAATTCTAACATTTTTGGCTCTATACACCACAACAATGGATTTGAAATGAAATGAACAAGATGTGCTTTAACTGCAGACTGTCAGCTGTAATTTGAGGGTATTTACATCCAAATCAGGTGAACGGTGTAGGAATTACACCAGTTTGCATATGTGCCACCCACTTGCTAAGGGACCAAAAGTAATGGGACAGAATAATAATCATAAATTAAACTTTCACTTTTTAATACTTGGTTGCAAACCCTTTGCAGTCAATTACAGCCTGAAGTCTGGAACGCATAGACATCACCAGACGCTGGGTTTCATCCCTGGTGATGCTCTGCCAGGCCTCTACTGCAACTGTCTTCATTTCCTGCTTGTTCTTGGGGCATTTTCCCTTCAGTTTTGTCTTCAGCAAGTGAAATGCATGCTCAATCGGATTCAGGTCAGGTGATTGACTTGACCATTGCATAACATTCCACTTCTTTCCCTTAAAAAACTCTTTGGTTGCTTTTGCAGTATGCTTTGGGTCATTGTCCATCTGCACTGTGAAGCGGCGTCCAATGAGTTCTGAAGCATTTGGCTGAATATGAGCAGATAATATTGCCTGAAACACTTCAGAATTCATCCTGCTGCTTTTGTCAGCAGTCACATCATCAATAAATACAAGAGAACCAGTTCCATTGGCAGCCATACATGCCCACGCCATGACACTACCACCACCATGCTTCACTGATGAGGTGGTATGCTTAGGATCATGAGCAGTTCCTTTCCTTCTCCATACTCTTCTCTTCCCATCACTTTGGTACAAGTTGATCTTGGTCTCATCTGTCCATAGGATGTTGTTCCAGAACTGTGAAGGCTTTTTTAGATGTCGTTTGGCAAACTCTAATCTGGCCTTTGTGTTTTTGAGGCTCACCAATGGTTTCCATCTTGTGGTGAACCCTCTGTATTCACTCTGGTGAAGTCTTCTCTTGATTGTTGACGTTGACACACATACACCTACCTCCTGGAGAGTGTTCTTGATCTGGCCAACTGTTGTGAAGGGTGTTTGCTTCACCAGAAAAAGAATTCTTTGGTCATCCACCACAGTTGTTTTCCGTGGTCTTCCGGGTCTTTTGGTGTTGCTGAGCTCACCGGTGCGTTCTTTCTTTTTTAAGAATGTTCCTAACAGTTGTTTTGGCCACGCCTAATGTTTTTGCTATCTCTCTGATGGGTTTGTTTTGTTTTTTTTCAGCCTAATGATGGCTTGCTTCACTGATAGTGACAGCTCTTTGGATCTCATCTTGAGAGTTGACAGCAACAGATTCCAAATGCAAATAGCACACTTGAAATGAAATCTGGACCTTTTATCTGCTCATTGTAATTGGGATAATGAGGGAATAACACACACCTGGCCATGGAACAGCTGAGAAGCCAATTGTCCCATTACTTTTGGTCCCTTAACAAGTGGGAGGCACATATGCAAACTGTTGTAATTCCTACACCGTTCACCTGATTTTGATGTAAATACCCTCATATTAAAGCTGACAGTCTGCAGTTAAAGCACATCTTGTTCATTTCATTTCAAATACATTGTGGTGGTGTATAGAGCCAAAAATGTTAGAATTGTGTCGATGTCCCAATATTTATGGACTTGACTGTATATGGTAAAGCATACTTGTTAGTCATTGTGGGCCTTAAGGGGTAATCCTCTGCATTGTGAAAAGGATGTTTAATCCTGTCTTCTCTGATCCTCCCCTTCTTCCACTGTCATCTCATCTCCTCATAGAACCTTGGGAGCAAGCTGCACATGTTCAGTTTGGTGTGCATTGCTAGATAGTTTTGTTTTTTTTTTTTTTACTTGGGAGAATGCATGTGACCAGCACAGGGCCAACCAGCACTGTCCAGACATAAAGTCATGAGTCCTGCAGTCTCATAGGACAGTGAGAGGAGAATGAAAACTCCTCCTACAAGCTTTAACCAGTGCTCTGCTGGTCACTGATAGAAGTCACAAGACTGCTGTAACTGCTAATGAGAAGTTATTTAGCAGTTTATATGTGCTAAAACAATTGCATTTCCATGTTCTGTGTACTGTGGGAGACCAGATGTAGTGAATGCAGGGCCCTGGGTTTAGTAACACTTTAAATTAGGAGTTTCTGGTTTTTACCTACTCAGTAATGCAGCCCATCTGTTTAATTGCTGATGACATCACTGAATTGATTGGCAAATCTGTCTGACCTTTTTTTTTTTTTTTTTTTTGTTAAAGCAGTATTACACCCAAAACCAAAAATGTTATATATTGCAGCTTACGAATCATTAGATGTGGTGGCTATGTTAGTTTTCTTTTTCCTTCTCTGTTTACCCCTGGTAATCTTGCCAGTAATACACCTCCTGTATTATGCAGACACCATTCTGGGTGAAGGAGCCCAGGTGGCAGATTTGGACATCAGCATTGTAAGTCTGGGGGACGGGAGTGTTGGAAGTACTAGCAGTTTTAGATACACTAACAAATTGAAGCTGAACTCCAGCTAATACTTTATAAGCTGTAACCGCAAACTGTTTTTTTTTTCCTTTTGGGATAAAGGTTTTAAATTAATAAAAGATGATCAATTTAAGAACCCTTGCTAGTGTTAAATGATCTGTCTCATGCCTGTAACTGCAAGAGAGCTTTTTTGTTGAAAAACAATAGAATGACTGGATTACCAGACAAGAATAAAAGAAGGTATAAAAAAAGAAAAAAGGGAAACAAATACAGCCATCACATCTAGTAATTGATGAGCTGCAATATAATAAATGTTTGCTTTTGGGTTTAATACTGCTTTAGGGATTAAAACATTGTGTCCCTGGTAGGAATTTTGCACAGATTTTCTGTCCAGTTGGCACCCTGTTAATAGGGCAAAAAAAGTATGGAAATCGTCCTAATGTGATCACAGTCAAAACTTGACACTTTCCTACCTTCTAATAAAAGTTTCTCCTGCTTCTGTGTCCCCTTTGGAGTGTTTTCTCTCGCTTCCTGTTGTGACCACCTGTCTTGTGGTCCAGAAATGACAGTCTGACAGGTTTAGTCCTTCCATACTTTTGTCAAAAGAGAGGAAAAAAAAAAGCTGCAGTTCCATTTTAATGGCCCATTCACACTTCCATTGTATCAATAAAAATAATGTGATTTGCATTAGAGTAGCCTCATTTTGACAACACAACCAAAAATGGGCAGCACCATTTTTCTGATTCAGCACACTTCAACTGTGCCATTGTGTTGCCTGCTACTGTATTTAGTGTATTGGCTGATACTGCAGAGCGCGAGTTAGGTAATCTGTTTTATCACACTGCATAGATCAGAGTGAGCCTTGAAGGTGCTCCTTTATATGTAATGATTGTAAAAATTGTATACTGGCTCATCTTGTATATGCCAGTTTCCATCACAAAAAATAATGCTACAGTGTATTTATCTCTAAACTGTCCACAGTTCTTCATAAATGGCACCACTGTTGACTCCTTCCTGTCTTTGACTTGCATAAGGACGAACATATCAGAATTTCAGTAAAGATAAGTTCCGCACAACTACCATTCAGCTTCAGATAGATTTTGATAGTTTGAATTGATTAGTGAGAGTAAGCCACTTTGTTTACATGATATAAAAAGAGAGTCCTTCCCTTGATGGAAGAACTTAGTTATTTTTTTTTATCTCAAAAAGGCTGCTGTTCGGAAAACCGCATTCCCCCTTTTCGGTTATTGGGTTACCAGTAAGGGTGCTGCACCAATAAATGTAATTATTTGAATTGAATCAAATTATTCTGCTAAATGTGTTTGTTCTTTTTTTTTTTTTTTTTTTTGCTCTGTAAATTTTAGGGCCAAGCTTGGCATGCCACAGTTTCTTACGCCAGAAGCTCAATCCCTACTGCGTATGTTATTCAAGAGAAACCCAACCAACAGATTAGGTAAGGTACAGCAGTCACTAAGTGGTTTATTTACTAAAGCTGAGGTGATTGTAGCCGTAGTGTATTTGCGACAGGAACAATTGAGTACTGTCCGTGATACTTTTTTTATTTGCACTAACATACAATTTTGAGGACAAGCTTTCGGGGAATGTTCCCTTCTTCAGGTCTAAGCAGTACTGAAACAAAGATTTAGCAGAATGTTGGAAGAGATGTAGGGGATGGGAAAAAAAAACAGAGAGAAGATACAGCAAAAGCAAACACTGAAAGAAATATTCCAGCAACCCCCAATACTAGCTTTTAGACAACCCCCCAACCTCAGAAATAAACTAATCAGTAGGAAACTTCCTTCTGATTATGATGTCACAAATAATGGAAGCAAACCCTGCAATAAGAAACGCTGCAAACTGTGCAACCAAATCAATCCATCAAAAAGTGTCAGACACTCAAAAGGGATCTTCAATATCTCCGCATCATACAGCTGCACCTCTAGTAATGTTGTGTACCTTATCCAGTGCAGAAAATGTAGCAAAGGATCTTATGTTGGCGAAACAGGAAGAAGTTGAAAACAAGGATGAATTTGCACACATCAAGGAACATAAAGAAGATGACCTTTGCACACCTGTGGGACACCATTTCGCACAAACGGACCACATTATGGAAGACCTCAATGTTCTAGTTCTTAAAAAAAATTTCAAATCCATTCAGGAAAGAAAAAACTTTTGAACTAAGAATGATAATTCTATTTGACACAAGAGATAATGGCCTGAATTTGGACATGGGATTCCTCAATCATTATCCAACAGTTTTATGACTATCAGCTCAAGCATGACTGCCCCCCCAGACTTTGCTTTTGCTGTATCTTATCTCTGTTTTTTGGGTTTTTTTTTTCCCATCCCATACATCTCTTCCAACATTCTGCTAAATCTTTGTTTCAGTACTGCTTAGACCTGAAGAAGGGGACATTCCCCGAAAGTTTGTCCTCAAAATTGTATGTTAGTGCAAATAAAAAAAGTATCACGGACAGTACTCAATTGTTCCTGTTTACTAAAACTGCAAATCAGGCTAACTTCTGCATAGAAACCAATTGGCTTCTAATCCCCTTGTTCAATTAAGCTTAAAACCTGAAAATTGATTGGTTTCTGTGCAGAAATGAGCATGATTTTGCACTTTCCAGTATTAGTAAATAAACCCCTAAGAGTCATTTTAGTTTAACAAGTCTACATTGGCTGGTTGAAGGCCAGTTGAGCTGCTCACCAGGTTGTAATCTCTCTTGGACAACAGTGGCAAGAGCTTTATCTGTCTACTCTTCCATTGTGATAAGGGGTGCGACTTTTACCCCTGGATTCTTTGTTTATGTTAAAAGTCTTTTATTGAAGGTTTAGTGACAGTAGACAGTTGGAGTTACGAGAGGTTATGCCCCATCGCATTGGGGTACCCAAGTACTAGTACAATGTCATGTTAGAGAATAAACAGTATACCAAGATAGCACTTAATACCTTTTGAGTCACTCATTTGTGAAACCTACATTATGGAGTAGGCAACTGTAGTATACAGGAAAGACAATCAGCAAAAGAGGAGGGCAGAGAGAAGAGGGGAGATGGGAAAGAGAGAGTGCTATAAGGAATCTGCACTTGAGGGTAAGATCAATCCTACCCAAAACTCTGTCCCCTGCAGCTCTCAGGAAAATTAAAGACGTAACCGTTGATGATCAAATTTCAGGGGGATAATGGGATAGGATCCGAGGGGACCATACCTTCTCAAAGAAGACCAGTTTATCATCTTGGAAAGCTGTCATATTGTCACCAGTCATCATCCAAGGATAGCCAGGCCTTAAAGTGATACTAAACACATACTGTTTAATGTATATTAAGCCTTCTCTTTCTTTATATGGATGATGGCACAATAATTATTTTAATAAAAACAATCATCTAATCGATATAGAGCTGTCACATGACCCAGCTTTTTCTCAGCCGGTCTGCAGGTAAACATAACCAGGAGGAGTTTCTAGTCCTCTGCTGCTGGTCACATGTTAAAAAAAAAAAAAAAAAAAAAAAAAAACCCCTGTGGAACACAAAGGAAAAATGAATAAAATCAATAAACTGTTTTAATCACTTGATCTCTGGAAAGTTTTACCCTCCATGAGCAGACCATTCTTTTGCTACTTGGCACTGTGCCACTTTAACTGCTTCCACACCGCCCTATAGCAGAAATACTGCTACAGGGCGGCACGGGTAAGCAAAATCACATGTGTGTGATTTTGCAGTTTCGGGTAGGTGGTGCCACCATTCTCAGCCTCGGCTGTCAATCACCGGGTCCTGGCCGGTAATTTCTCGCTGGCACCTGGTGATTGCTGAGTATCTCCAATGGGGGAGAGACCTGTGTATAAACACAGATCTCTCCCCTGTCAGCTCCTGCACACTACTTTGTATCGCAGTGTGCTTACAATGTAAAGCACTCGCGCAGCACACAGTTAACCCTTTGATTGCCCCCACATGTTAACCCCATCCTGCCCAGTGCCCTTAGTACAGTGTCAGTGCTTTTTATTAGCATTGGTGTTACTGGGGGTGTCAGTGACACTGTCAGTTCCCCCCAGTGTCAGAATGCCTGCTGCAGTCCTGCTATAAGTTGCTGATTGCCGCCATTACTAGTAACAAATAAAAAAACATTACAGTATATATACCGTCATTTGTAAACACTATAACTCATGTAAATCAATTAATTTACATGTATTGGGATTTTTTTTTTACTAGCAAAGCCATAGCAGAATACATTTTGTCGTAAATTTATGACAAAATTTGATTTTTAAAATTTTTTTTACTGGACATGTTTAATTGCAAAAAGTAAAAAAATATATTGTTTTTTTTCTTAAAATTGCCAGTATTTTTTTTTCATAGTGCAAAAAATAAAAAATGCACAGGTGATCAAATACCACCGAAATAAAGCTCTATTTGTGGGGAAAAAAGAACGTAAATTTCATTTGGGTGCAGCATTGCATGACTGCTCAATTGTCAGTTAAAATAACGCAGCGTCGTATCGCAAAAAATGGCCTGGTCAGAAAGGGGAATAAATCCTCAGGAGGGCAAGTGGTTAACTGACAAATGTGAGGTCATGCAACACTGTATGCAAATTAAATTTATATAATTTGTTTTCACACAAAAAGATTTCTTTTGGTAATATTTGGTCGCCACTGGATTTTTTTTTTTTTTGCTTTATGAATGAAAAAGGACAAATTTTAGAGGGGGAAAAAAAAAATTCTACTTTATTAGCCACTTCAAGTCCGGACACTTTTACCCCCTTCCTGTCCAGGCCAATTTTCAGCTTTCAGTGCTATCACACTTTGAATGACAATTGCGTGGTCATGCAATACTGTACCCATATGAATTGTTTAGTATTTTTTGAGACAGATAAAGCTTTATTTTGGTGGTATTTATTCACCACTGGGATTTTTTTTTTTTTTGCTATGTAAATGAAGAAGTCCAAAAATTTTGAAAAAAGTGTTTTTCTTATAAAAGGTTGCAAATAAATAATATTTCATCATAACTCTTGGCCAAAATTTATTCTGTTATCTTTTTAGTAATAAAAAAAAAAAACCCGAATTAGTTTTTATTTTAGTTTATTATTTGGTGTTTTGTTTTTTTTTACATTCTGTCACCCTAGAAGTGCACTACTTGTGGGGGGTGATTTTTTTTTTTTTTTACACTGATTGCTTTTACACCCTTAAAGGCTGTATAAGCAATAATTTCTCCTTCTCTCTGGCTGCATTCTTACAGCCATTGAGAACTACTGAGTGAGCTGTGATTGGTCACAGCTTGTCACAGGGTACAAGGCTGTTGTGAATAGCCTTGTACCATGTGACCTCTGTGATCATTCACAGATTTCACACGTAGTAAGCAATGATGTCAGAAATGACATCTTGCTTATACTCTGCATGTGATCAACGATTGACCAATCAGTGATCACATGATCGGGACCTCGCACAGAGGTCCCGTACGACGATCGGTGTTCCACTGTGTCCGGAGGAGACAACGGGCACCGGATCGTGGTGCTACATGCTCCCAGGGAACGCGCACAAGCAGGGGGCGGGGAGGGGAGGCCGACCCTGCACTGCTACCGTCCGTCCGTTTATATACAACGGCCGGACAGGAGGTGGTTAAACATCCAATAGGATCAAATTTCATCATACATTTTACTCAAACTGTAAATGTGAAGTGAACTTCAGCGCCTATTATACAATATAAATAAACAAATAGGTTCTGCTGCTGACATCAGTTGTGTTCCCACAATATCAACAAAATAAATTAATTAATTAAAGGTGATGTAGCACTGCTAATGAACATTAATCAGTACTAATAAACAATACAGGTGGATAAATTGCGCTCATAATCATAATGTGAATAAATGACCAAGAACATAGACCATAAATATAAATTAATGAAAAATGTGAATAAAGATACTAAAGTGCTTTCAATAAATAGGTTCATAAGTTTCCAAATATCACATTATGAGCACAATGTATCCACCTGTATTGTTTATTAGTACTGATTGATGTTCATTAGCAGCGCTACATCACCTTTAATTTAACTCAAAATGTATTCTGCTACAAATCCCAATAGGTGTATGTTAATTGGCTTGTGTAAAAGTGTCTACAAGCTATGGTATATATATTTGAAAATTGATTAGTCCTGACATACTGACAGCCTTGTCTCATTTCTTGAGGCTCTAAAATCTCAGGACAATACAAATGCCCCCAGTCATCATATGACTGGTGTGACGTTGATCAGAGATGCTGACTGGTGACGGTATGTAAAAAAAAAAAAAAAAAAAAAAGACCTTTTTATTCCATTTTTTAAACTTTCTTTAAACATTTTTTTTCAAGTACCATGTTATTAGCCAATCACAGCTTCACAACACTAAGCAAGCAGTCATGAATGGAAACCACTCATGACTGTTTTGTTTACATTGTAATGGTGACCAATCACCATTAATGGTAATCTACTGTGTCTTGTGGAGACAACTGTCACAGGAATGGCACACTGCCCGCCCCTGCACAGCCGATTTACATGTATGTGACTGTGCCTATACCTGCTGCCCTCTTGCAGTATATTTACTGTGAGCCGTCGGCGGATGGTTAATTGTGCCTTCGTAATGTCCTCTAGCCTCTTAAGAAGCGGTACTCCCACCAAGTCTTCACTGAAATGTGTATTAAAAAAAGTACACGTAGCAAATCATATATGTTTCAGAAATCACTCTACGTGGCATGACCATAAAGTGTGAGGAAATTGGTTCAGTTCAGTGCAGCCCAAAATCACAATAAGAAATTTGAGATAAATTTGTTTTGTGTACTTTTCATTAAAGAAAATAATGTTTTTATTCTTGTAAATGAAAATGAGAGCTGTTAACATGTTTACAGGAGCAGGCCCTGATGGGGTTGAAGAAATTAAGAGGCATCCGTTCTTTGCAACAATTGACTGGAACGTAAGTAGATTTATTCTCTGATTGATACTGCTACTTGAGTATACATAAGCACCCCAGTGTATCCTGCCCAGTGTTTGGTGGTTTTACAAATATACAGTTAATGTAGGTTAAATACAACTACATAAAGTACTGTCTTCTTTTTTTTTTTTTTTCTTTTTTTTTTTTTTTTTTACTAGAAATTGTACCGAAGAGAAATTCAGCCTCCATTCAAACCAGCAACAGGTGGTCCTGAAGACACATTTTATTTTGACCCAGAGTTCACGGCAAAAACACCCAAAGGTGAAATGAGAGGATGTGGGATGTGTGGATTATAGATCATTTCTCTATTCAGCTCGGATGAGTTTAGTATAAGTACTGTATCTGATCCTATTAACCACACAGTTTTCTTTAATGTGGGGGCTTAAAAAAAGGACTTTGCAACTCTGCTTTTATATTATTATTATTTCTTTTTAAATGTGTAGCTATAAAGTTTTTTGGTTTTTTTTGTTTTTTTGTGTAGACTCGCCTGGCATCCCTGCTAGTGCCAATGCACACCAACTTTTCCGTGGATTTAGCTTTGTGGCAATTTCCTCAGAGGACGACAGCCAGGCCATACAGACAGTTGGAGTTCATGGCATTGTTCCGGTAAGCATATGGCATAAACAGCAGTAGGAGTAAAACTTGTGTGTACCTTGATTTGAAATCTTAATGCAGATTAATTGCATTGAGCTGATGCCTACAGGTAAATGTTAACATTTGATTATGAGCTATATTGTTTAACCCTTTCACCTCCTCCCTCTGTGTATGACCTGTACATTTATAATGAAGTGCAGTATCTTTTGCACCATTACCAAGCTCTGTTTGAATTGCCTAGATACCAGTATGGTTCTTGATACGAAAAAGTTGTCGCAAAAATTAGATCACTTTTGGCTGGCTGTTTTCCAGGGCAGGGTGGATTTGGCTAGCTATACTGTCCTAACATTTTTATTTGCCATGTTTTATAACCGCAAGTTATAACAAAATGTCCCTTTTTTTTCCTTTTTTTCTTTTTTTTTTTTAAAGTCAAAACAGTGGTCATTATATACCACCAAAAGAAAGTTTTTAGCTTTCTCAAAACAAAGCGGAACTATACTACTCGCCTTCAATTCAGCGATGTGCCATCCCAGAACACCCCCGGGTCTCAATCGCCTGCTGGTGTCATTGGCGATGACATCACGCCCGCACATATGGGAGTCACAGCTGTGGCACAGAGCTCCGGATTGAAGGCATATTCACTGTGCTGCATCACTGGCTGCAAAACATGCGTATATCTCCTAAACTGTGCATGTTTAGAAGATGTTCATTTTACCTACAGGTAAGCTTTATTATAGGCTTACTCATAGGTAATGGTGACAAAGTGAAGTTTATTACTGCTTTAAAGCATATGCAGATGGGTTTAATGACACTTTAGGGACACCACCTGGTCACCTACCTGCCCCCCAGCCGATGACTGAACAGTGAAGGAGCATAAGCAGCCTGATGGGCTTATCCTCCTGCTCTGTCCTGTCAGCTGTTTTGTTGCACTGCAGTTCCTTGCTTTCCCAGTTTCAGTGGTGTTGTGTAGGCAGCTAACAAGAGGGTGATAAAAAGTCCAATTCATTTGCTTAGAGTAGCTAAGCTAGAATTTTGTTCAAACATTTTAGAAAGCTCTGAACAATTTTATTTGGTTGCTATGCCAGTGGTTTTTAACATTCAATTTCTAGCTGCCCGAAAGCAGTGTAATGTTTAAACCAGTGACCCTACCATATATAAAACAAATGAGTAATGTTTGTGACAGATCAGGTAAGTTCTACTTTCACATCACTTTACCTAGCACATGCGGGTTACAATTTTTCCCTACAGAAACCACATTCACAGAATTTCATTTGTTCAGATAAGAAACCAAAAACATTTTCCATCCTTCACCTTGGATTTTTTTTTCCCATCTCTGCAGTTGAAAATAATCAAATAGTCCCACTTATCCATTAGAAAATGGAACGGCCATTTAAAAAAACAACCAATTTCAAGCAAAGCTGTACACTAGTTGCATTCACATAACTGTATTGTTTTTTTTCCTGCAGCAAAAGCTGCTTTGATACAGTTCTCTTTTGGATTACAGTATGGATACATGCACACTGACTGGCTCATGCAACTCAATTCCCCGTGTTTTCGGGTGCCTGTGAGGCACAGGTGTAGCTTCTAGCCCCATTGCCAACAGCCTGGCAAAATGTTTTGACAGGCTGAAACATGTGGCTGCTGGACACTGTACTGATCTGTACTCGCGTTCAGAGCCTGTATTGTTTCAGGGTCGTATGGCTGCAATGCAGGAATTCTGTATCCTGAGCATACAACCTTGAACACAGTTCTAAACACGAGCATTGCTCGGTACAGCATATGGCCAGCACATATTTCAGCCTGTCATAGATTTTGACAGACTTCTGGAAGTGGGATTGGAAGCTACACCTGTACCTCCTGGGCACCCAAAAATGCCAGGATATGTGCATGAGACCTAATTTTGTTAGCTTTAAGCCTAGTACATACAATCAGAAAATCGTACGAAAAATACCGCTTTCAAAGTGATCTTGCGATAATCTGATAATTAGTACACCTCTTTTGTCCGATAATCTGATTGTTAGTACACAGCTTTCGTCCAAAATTATTTGAAGAGACAAGCACGAAAATGTTTCTCGTATGATACCAGATTGTATGATTTTCTTTTATTCACAGTTTTCATCCAAAAATACAATACAAATACAATATATCACTTATGAATTTTCTTTCTGTAGTACAAGAATTTTCGTAACTTTAGTAACCTCTTCACTTTTGCATATGAGACTAACATGCAAAAAATGAACAATCATTCGTCCAATATTCTCATCGTGTGTTGTTTGCAGTTGCATTGTTGAACAATCAGCCTATTAAAAGTGCTTAACATTATATTTTAGGATTACATAGATAATGTTTCCTAACTACCATTTCTGTATGGTCTTGGGATTCTAGCAGGTCAATCTCCTGCCATGGTCATTGTTATGCTGATGAATTTCCTTTTACCTGTCCTGTTGAATATAAACTAGTATCTACAGTGTTCCATCTTTACAGTGACCTATAGGGAGAGATGGAAGTGTCAGGCATATCTCACAGCAAACTCCTAAGTGATGTAACAAACCAGTGATCAATTAATTCTACAATCACTTGTCCAAATAAATTTAGTCTTCAACCACTTGAGCACTGAAAGGCTTTATCTCCTTCATGACCAGGCCATTTTTTGCTATTCGACACTGTGCTGCTTGGCAATTGCTTGGTCAAGCAACACTAAAATTTCAAAGGAAATTTATATAATTTTCCACAAAACTAGAGCTTTCTTTTGGTGATATTTGATCACTACTGTGTTTTTTTTTTATTATTATATAAACAAAAAAGACAATGTTTTGAAAGAAAAACTATTTTCTACTTTCTTTTATAAAACCTATCCAATTAAATGTCTTCATAAATTTAGACCAAAGTGTATTCTTCTACATGTCTTTTTTTAAAATAAAAAAAAACCTCCTTATAAGATTATTTTAGTTGTTTTGTGTGAAAGTTATAGCATCTACTAACGATGGTGTATTGTATATTTAGAAATTGATCAGTCCTGATGTACTGACAGCCAATCTCAATTCTTGAGGCCCTAAAATGCCAGGACAGTACAATTACCACCCAAATTACCCCTTTTTAGAAAGTAGACAGTCTGAGGTATTCAGTAAGAGGCATGCAAGTTTTTTGTTTTTTTTTTTGGTAACATTTTTTGGAAAATAAATTAAATTTTTTTAACTCATAATTTTTTCTTTTTCTTTTTTGGCATGCTGTCACCAGTGCAGTACAGCGTGTCATCATATGACTGGTGTGGCGGTGATCAGGGATACTGACTGATGACAGTATGTAAATTAATTTATAAATACATTTTTTATTCAGTTTTTAAAGTAATTGTAAGCATTAACGACCAGGGCCCTCTGAATCCTCCTGTATTAATTTTTATTGTAATTGTACTGTCTGCCCTAATGTTGTAAAGTGCTGTGTAAACTGTTGGCGTTCTATAAATCCCGTATAACAATAAAAATAATATATACACATATATGTGACTGAGCCTGCATATGTCGCACTGCCGCAGTAAATGTACTGTGGTGGGGCAGCAAGTGATTAAAATTAAATCTCTTGTGTTTTTCTCTCTTCCCTTGTTGTTACCTACCTAAAATATTTCATTATTTTTTTTAAATGCAGCATTACAATTTCAGGTTAATATAATTTTTATGTTCAGCTTCACAGAAACAGTATCCAATTCACTGACGGTTATGACTTAAAAGAAGACATCGGGGTGGGATCTTACTCTATTTGTAAAAGGTGCATCCACAAGACTACAAATATGGAATATGCAGTCAAGGTAATGTTTCTCTTGCTGAAAATGGGAAAAGTTAATTTACAAAGAATGCAATCACTCTTCAAGGAATGTGTAATGTGTGTTGTAGGGAAAGAGAAACTAGATGCCTGTATAGTGCAAGGCCAGCTACATATCAAAGCGAAGCAGTTAATGCTAAAATCTTTTAATGTGGAAGGTAGTTCAGTAAATGTATCCTTTCTTGCAATAAAGTTTACATCAAATATCGGCAAAAAGACACGTGGTCAGCGGCATGCTTTATTAGGACCTGTATCTACAGGCTTTGGGATTGTTGATGCCATGAGTTTGACATCTGTTTGAGCCACTTCTGAGATCATTTAGAATTCATTGTTAGATGCATTTGACCTGCTTCAAAATGGCTTTATATTCAGGTAGACTTGTTTAAGAATGCAAACCCCACTTGAAGCAAACAAAAGTCTGTTGATGCAAGCATGTTTCCTTCATTTCTCAGACTTCATAAATCTAACGTTTTAGTTGCCACTGTACAAAGGTTGCTGAGAAACAGCCCTAAACATAAAAGAAGCAGAAAGCTGTGTTTGGGCAGCATTCACACCATGCTTTGCAGGCAAATTTATCCATATGGAAGGTTCACTTGTTGGAAGCCATATCCATGATAAAGCACGCACTGCACCAAAGCTCATAGGTGTGTATGTACCCTTATTTCTTTATTGCCCATGGAAGAAAACAAGAATTTTGAATAACTCAGGTTCTATGCTGCTGCCTACAGGAAGTTTTTCTGGCATTTTTGTTCTGCTTTTATCTTATTCTTTATTCAGGATACTCAGTACACCGTAGCTATTTTTTTCAATTACTTCAGTCAAGATTTCAAACTGCTTGAGCTATTCTACACAGCAGCTATCCATATTGATATATCTTCAGCATTAGGTTGGGAGGCCTTCCAAAGCTGTTGGACTAGCAACCTTTGGACCAGCCCCAGATTGCAGGGCTAGCCGGAACATGACCTTCAGGCACTGATCACTGCATTGTGGTACTTTCCAGAACTTTGTGTGTTTTGTTAGCCACAGAGTGCTCTGCTGTTCCAGAGCAATGCCACAGCCTCTGGTATGACCCATTTTATGGATGTGGTGTGGCTAGCCTGGAGTGTGACCTTTAGGTTCCAGACCTTTCTGTACAAAGTAAGTCACCAAGTGTTTTCTGGGTCCAAGCCATTGACAGTCTTTGGTGTGATCCTGTCTTTGTAGGCTCACTTAATGAGTTAGGCTAGTCTTTTCGAAGCTTATATCAGGCCTACATCTACAGGTATCAACCCAGTAGTTTTTCTTGTTCAGTCAGCAGAGATCTTTTGTGTAAAAGCAATCCTAGCACCTAATTAGCCACTGGATCACTTTTACAGGCTGCCTTACCTAAGTGCCCACGATAAAAGAATCTTGACCCACTATGCTCTCCTCCCTTCCACCAACTAAGAATTCCTTAGTGGCCAGAACTGCACTATAACTGAGCTGTGGAATTTCAGTTGTCAGCGCTTCTCTTAAAGCAGTTGTATTAAACCCAAAACTAAAAATGTAATATATAGCAGTTTACCAGTCATTAGATGTGGTGACTGCATTAGTTATCCTTTTTTTAGGATTTTTTCCCCCTCTGTTTCACCTGGTGATCTGGCCAGTAACATACCCATCTGTATTAGTGTCTCCACTCTGGATGAAGGAGCACAGGGACACATTTGGAGGACAGTATTGTGATTATGGGGGAGGATAGTGTTAGATGGTCTAGCAGGTTTAGATACATGAACAAACTGAAGCCAAACTCCAGTTAACACTTTATAAGCCGTTACAGCAACAGTTTTTTTATTTTTGGATTAAAGGTTTTACATAAATAAAAACTGTAGATTGTAAGCACTCTTGTCAGTATTACATGGTTTCTCTCAACACCGTAACAGCTACAAAGCAGAATGGCTTGTTTTGTAAAAAAAAAAAAAAAAAAACAAAAAACAGACCTACTGGCTAGGTCACTAGGTGAAAATGAAAGAAAGTTAAAAAAAAAAAAAAAAAACAAAAAAAAACACCAGTGTAGCCACCACATCTAAAAATTAGTAAGCTGCAATATAAGGTTCGCTTTTGGGCTTAATACCACTTTAAGCTGGCCAAATGGATCAAAATTTGACCAGTTCAGCAGGAACTAGCCGATCTTTTGATTTATCTGTGGCCATGCCTGCAAGACTGAAGTCTATCTAACAATCAACCTGTATTGATTGGAAATGTTGGAAAACGTTCGTTTAATGGGAAGCTGCGTCAATGTATTCCCTGCTGTCAGAATACAGTAGAAGAGTGGGGATGATTTCGCCCACCACTTCGCTTGTGTGGATGCAGGAATCCATTTGGTTTCTTTGCTATCAGCCAGGAAAAAAAATAACCCATCTATGGGCAGCCTGAAGCACAGAAAATAAGGTCATTTATCGAAGTGATACTAAATCATAGAGGATTACAGTTTTTCAGGCTGATAAATGTGATAGCTAGCATCTTGAGGTATCTGCTCCTAAGAGATCTCATAGCATTTTTTTTTTTTTTTAATGATTATCATGTTTTTTTTTTTTTTTTCCTTTTGTGAAAGTGGAATAACGGTGTTTACCTGCTCCCTGGCCGCCCTATAGCGGATATACTGCTACAAGGTGGCAGAGGTGTGCTAAATCATGTATATATGTGTGATTTCGCATTTCTGGGTAGTAGCCACACGAGCCCTACCCGCGCCTCCAGTCGAGGCTGTCAATCACTGTGTCCTGACCGGTAATTACTCACCGGTGCCCGGTGATTTCCGGTGATTTTTTCCTCCAACGGGAAGGAGGACTGTTTTATTTACTAACAGTTCTCTCTGTCAGCTCAGGCACACTGAGCCATCCAGAGCAGTGTGATTACAGTCAAGCACACTGACACAGCCCCCTAGTAAAACAATCCCTGCACACAGTTAACCCTTTGATCGCCTCTCATGTTAGTCTCTTCCTCCTGCCCAGTGGCATTAGTACAGTGTCGGTGCTTTTTTTTTTAAGTTCTGATCACTGTATTGGTGTCACTAGGGATGTCAGTGACACCAAGTCAGTTCCCCCCAGTGTCAGAATGTCCGCCGCAGTGCCACTATAAGTTGCTGATTGCCGCCATTACTAGTAAAAAAAAAAAAAAAAAAAAAAATCACGTGTGTATATATACTGCCATTTGTAAACACTATAACTTTCACGTAAACCAGTTAATTTACACGTATTAGTATTTTTTTTTTTTTTTTTTTTTTTTTTTAAGAAAGACATGTAGCAGAATACATTTTGGTGGACGAAATTTGATTTTTAAATTTTTTTTACTGGACATGTTTAAGAGCAAAAAGTCAAAAGTATTGTTTTATCAAAATTGCCGGTCTTTTTTTTTTTTTTATAGTGCAAAAAATAAAAACCCGCACTGGCAATCAAATACCACCGAACGAAAGCTCAATTTGTGGGAAAAAAAGGACATAAATTTAATTTGGGTGCAGCATTGCATGACCGCACAATTGTCCGTTAAAGTAATGCAGTGCCGTAATGCACAAAATGGCCGGGTCTGGAAGGGAGGTAAATCCTCAGGAGGGCAAGTGATTAAAGTGGTTGGTTCTAAAGGCTTACAATTTAAAAAAAAACAAATCTATACTTACCTGCTCTCTGCAGTGGTTTTGAACAGTGCAGCCTGGCTCCTCTTCTCAGGTCCCCTGCCGGCACTGCTGCCCCTTCCCTCCTGTCAGGTACCCCCACAGCAAGCAGAATGCATGACGGTAAAAAAACTTTAAGCCTTTAGAACCACTTTAAGTGAACATAAATCATGGTTAATACTACTTTCTGTTTTAGATTATTGACAAGAGCAAGAGGGATCCAACGGAGGAAATTGAAATTCTTCTGCGCTATGGACAGCATCCTAATATTATCACATTAAAAGATGTAAGTTTGTTACAGTCCTTGCTTAGCCAGAATGCTAGGTGAAAACATGCAGATATATTAGTGCAAGACTAAAAAATACAGTGCATGCATAAAGTATTCATAACCCCTTCACGGTTTTCACTTTTGATATGTTGCAGCCCGATACTACAGTTGTTTAAATTAATTTTTGTCTCATTAATCTACACTCATTACCTCATAATGACAAAGTTAAAACAGGCACCGTTCTCTGCTCACAGCAGTGGTGAGAACTCAGCGATCAACGGTCATGTGATCGCTGAGTTCTCACACTTGCACCAACCTAGGTACCGTATTTTTCGCTCCATAAGACGCACCTGACCATAAGACGCACCTGACCATAAGACGCACCTAGGTTTTAGAGGCGGAAAAACAAGAGAAAAAAATATTCTGAACCAATGGACTGCAGACACAGTACAGGGGATGACCAGAGACTGCGGACACAGTGCAGGACATGACCAGAGACTGCGGACACAGTGCAGGACATGACCAGAGACTGCGGACACAGTGCAGGAGATGACCAGAGACTGCGGACACAGTGCAGGAGATGACCAGAGACTGCGGACACAGTGCAGGAGATGACCAGAGACTGCGGACACAGTGCAGGAGATGACCAGAGACTGCGGACACAGTGCAGGAGATGACCAGAGACTGCGGACACAGTGCAGGAGATGACCAGAGACTGCGCGACACAGTGCAGGAGATGACCAGAGACTGCGGACACAGTGCAGGAGATGACCAGAGACTGCGGACACAGTGCAGGAGATGACCAGAGACTGCGGACACAGTGCAGGAGATGACCAGAGACTGCGGACACAGTGCAGGAGATGACCAGAGACTGCGGACACAGTGCAGGAGATGACCAGAGACTGCGGACACAGTGCAGGAGATGACCAGAGACTGCGGACACAGTGCAGGAGATGACCAGAGACTGCGGACACAGTGCAGGAGATGACCAGAGACTGCGGACACAGTGCAGGAGATGACCAGAGACTGCGGACACAGTGCAGGAGATGACCAGAGACTGCGGACACAGTGCAGGGGATGACCAGAGACTGCGGACAGTGCAGGGAATGACCAGAGACTGCGGACAGTGCAGGGAATGACCAGAGACTGCAGACAGTGCAGGGGATGACCAGAGACTGCAGACAGTGCAGGGAATGACCAGAGACTGCAGACAGTGCAGGGGATGACCAGAGACTGCAGACAGTGCAGGGGATGACCAGAGACTGCAGACAGTGCAGGGGATGACCAGAGACTGCAGACAGTGCAGGGGATGACCAGAGACTGCAGACAGTGCAGGGGATGACCAGAGACTGCAGACAGTGCAGGGGATGACCAGAGACTGCAGACCGTGCAGGGGATGACCAGAGACTGCTGACCTTTGGAGAGGGAGGGGGAGCAGCGGGTACCTGAATTTGAGAGGTACCCGCTCCCACTTCCGCGGAGTTGTCCTTCTCTCTTCTTCGCGGGCCGGCTTCTGTGACAGCCGGGTGCCCACTGCGCATGCTCAAGAAGCGCTGCGCTTTGTGAATGGCCCGGCACCTTCTGGGACCTGTCATGTGTCCCAGTAGACACCGCATCATTCACAAAGTGCAGCACATGCGCAGTGGGCACCCGGCTGTCACAGAAGCCAGGACAGAAAGACTGCAGCGCTGGACCGAGGAACAGGTAAGGCCCTGCAGGAGACAACAGCTGAGCGGCCGGCCCGGTATTCTGACATGGTGGCCGCAAAAAAATACCGGACCGGCCGCTTTATATTCGCTCCATAAGACGCACTGACATTTTCCCCCCTTTTTTGGGGAGAAAAAAGTGCGTCTTATGGAGCGAACAATACAATACGGTAAGTATAATTTTTAGGAAAAAAAAAACCCCAAACTTCTCTTTTAATTATTGCTGAAATGTTTCTTCACCTTAATTGGAGCCCACATTGGGCATGATTTGGAAAGGCGTACGCCTTACAGCTGACAATGCATACTGTATCAGAGCAAAAGCCATAAGGTCAATGTAACTGCCTACAGAGGTCAGAGACAGGATTATTCAAAGGCACAGATTTGGGGAGGGCTGCAAAAAAATTCTGCTGCACCGAAGGTTCCCAAGAGCACAGTTGCCTCAATTTTCAAATGGAAGACGTTTAGCACAGCCAGCACTCTTCCAAGTGCTGGTCGCCCTGCCAAACTGAGCAAACGGGGGAGAAGGGCATTAATAAGAGAGGTAACCAAGAACCTGATGGTCACTCTGACTGAGCTCCAGAGATCCAGTGTGGAGACTGGACAAAGTTCCAAGAGGACAACCATCACTGCAGTCCTCCACTGATCTGGGCTTTATAGGAGAATGGCTAGATGGAAGCCTCTCCCATGTGCAAAGCAAACATGCGTCTGTGCGCCTCCTTTTTGTTGGTGACCCAGAAGCAACGTGTAACACGTCACGTCCAAGTGTCCCTGTCAGTGTCCCCAGCAAACATGGGAAAGAATCTAATGCAGTGTGATCTGAACTGCATTCGATTAGGTGGGTCCTTTAGACCCTGGATGTCCCACTAAAGAGAACCCGTCACCAGAAAATAATAACCTAGGGGACAAAAAGGATACAAAATAAATTTGTTTTAATTGTAAAAAATGTGTTACACCCCAGCACATAGAATTCCCCCCACATGTATACACGTAAAAATTTAAAAAACACACAAAGGTGCCTACATTCAAAACCATTGATTGCGATGCACATGTTACATCTCGCTGCGCATGCAGGAGTGAGAGCAATATTTCTAGCACCAGACCTCCTCTGTAACACTAAACTGATGGACCTATAAGGGGCTTTTTAAGCGTTGCCTATGGAAAATATAGGGTATTGAAATTTGCCGCCATTGCACAGGCACTTACAAATTTAAGGTTTGAAATGTTGGGTATCTATTTACTCAGTGCAACCTCATCTTTTATATTTTGCCAAAAAATTGGGTAGAATATTGCGTTTTTGTGTGCCCCAAAACGAACTAGTTTATTTCTAACTGAAATTTTGCTTTCCTAGACCTGTGCAGTAATATCGTGTGATATAGAAAAATGGAACCACCACTATTTTATTCTCTGGGGCAATCGTTAATAACTCTGCACGCTCCCAACTGTGCCAAAAAACTCCTATCCCCAAAAAGAAAAGTAAAACTTTCACCTTTGAAAGTAAAGTGCATAATAACTAAACTCTTCTTTGTATTAAATAAATCTATCCCAATCTTATCATATAGACAGAATAGTTAAATAAACTAATAAACAAAAATACAAAAAAATGGAAAAAAATTATAAAATTGTCCCAAAAAAAAAAAAAAAACAAATGTCCCAAAAATAAATATAAAAAAAAACCTTTGTCTTTTCCACCTCCAAATCACATCGTGCCACTCTGTAATAATCCAACGTAACGTTTGCAAATTCTCTGTGGACCTCAAAAAAATTTAACTTATGATAGTGATTACCTTTTAAATGGACCAAAAAAAGTGCAACAAACCGTGTATCATGCAAACTGCATATCATGTGCACTGAAACTCACACGTGAGAGTAAAAAAAGTGTGTGTGTGTGTGTGTGTATATATATATATATATATATATAATACAACACATAGTTATAAATAAGATTATAATAATATCACAATCAAAAATGCACACGTGTATATATTCAAAAAGTGAACACTCCAACTGCAAACAGTACAAATCAGTGGTCACCTCTACATAGTGCAAATAATGATTGACAAACTAAATATAACCAAAAAGTGATATAATTCTCCAACCATATAAATCATGGTGCAAAATAAGGTGAATCACTCCAACTGGTGCAACAATGGATAATTACCCTATACAGATAATAGCAAGCTCTACCCCAAACAGAGGATGATAACACTCTCCAGGCTTCTTAATAATCCTGTTGTTGTTCTTCCATGATCCTCATGAGGTAAAAATCGGAGATTAGAGACAGCATATAGTAAACTGTAACAATATTTATTAGGTAGCTTACATATAATATCGAAGAAAACGACTTCCAGCATAAGGAACATTCAGGAGTAGTCCTAGTGTGGCATATATATATATATATATATATATATATATATATATATATATATAATATCTGTATCCTTCTAAAAATGCACACAAATATACACTACAATATAAATAAAATACCAGATCTATTTTTAACAATGGCACTGTAATGTTTATTAAAGTAATAGCTCCCTCTACTGGCCAAGCAATATAAACCAACTGACAATATTAAAACACATATATAATCTCATATCTCTAAATTATTGCATCATAGAATATAACTAAAATACCTCAAATATAAAAAGAACTAAGACAACTCAGACACACATACTCAATCTCATAGCCCCAAATTTCTATAATAAATACCAATAATTAAAATTAGAATTATTAAAACTCCTACAAACACTCCCAAATATATAAGTATATCTACAAATAAAATATATATTATAAATGACCCACACCTATACCAGATAGCATAATCCCCTCTTAAAAATCTGAGATAAAACAATTCAAGTCTAGCTCAATTTTGAGTCCCTTGGGTTTCAGAGTATTCAGTCTGAAAATCCAAAAAGTCTCATTCTGCAAGATCCTTTGTACTCTATTACTTCCCCTCCAATGGGTATCAACCATATAAATCCCACAGAATTTGCTTTTAATTGGATCCGAATTATGACACTCTTTAAAAAATGTCGAGGTATTTTAGTTATATTTTATGATGCGATAATTAAGATATATGAGATTATATATGTGTTTTAATATTGTTAGTTGGTTTATATGACTTGGCCAGTAGAGGGAGCTATTACTTTAATAAGCATTAGAGTGCCATTGTTAAAAATAGATCTGATATGCTATTTATATTGTGGCTTATATTTGTGTGCATTTTTCGAAGGATTTATATATATATATAGATATAGATTTAAAAGGTGCTTTTTTTATGGGTCATGGTTCAGTATATTTTGTTGTATGGGG